CAAGAGCTGCTTGTTACAAAGATCCTGGCACCTCCCTGCTTCTCTCTCTTGCTTCCCCCCTCACCATGGGATATCTGCACAGCCAGCTCCCCTTCACCTGCAGCCATGAGTGAAAGCAGCCTGAGGCTTTCGCCAGATGCCCTATCTTGAAACTTCTAGGCAACAGAATCGTAACCCAAATAAACCTCTTTCTTTATAAATCACTCAGTCTCAGATATTCCTTTATAGCGACACAGACAAGTAAGTTTAACTACTCTGCTTTTAAAATTAAAAAATATATATATTTCTGTAGGTATTAGAACATGGTTTTTCTAGTTTGGAAAAAAACTGCATATGAAATATACAACCAAAGTGCAATTTCAATTTCAATTAAACATAAGGCAATTAGAACAATGAAAGAAAAATGTTTGCATGACAATGACTAAGTTCACAGTCAAATAATCTCAAAACTAATTGCTATAGAGATTGGTTTTTGACTGTTACAGATTGAGGCATAAATTTATTGAAGAGAGATTTAAACAAATTTAACAACAAACTGTCATTATACAATAGCAAATTTCTGTTCTTTTAATTAATAGACCATCATTGAAGATTTTGAAAAAGAAATAGTTAAGAAATACTGTATGAATATAAATATGGCTTGAAGAAATTGCGAAAAAAAACTCACATTATGGATGACAGTAATTTATATTATGAAATTCAAATATTTTCTATTTCCTGTGATAATCATGTATCATACATGACCCAAACACAATGCTGAAACACAATATGTAAAATTGAATGCGGTCATCTTTGATAACTTTTTTACTTTCGTCCTGAAAACCACAGCTTCCCACATATTTTTCTACTTTGTCATTATAAAGGTAGATTTGTCGACGCAGGATGAAATACATTTTATTCAGCAATGTTTGAGCTTGATTTATAACTTTTAAGTATATAGACATAGAGTATGTGGGCCACCATTCATCCTCTTGCCACGGATGCTAGGGGCCAACATGAGCCCAGCATCCCAACCACAAGTACATTTCAGAACTAGGCTGGTGAGCACTGAGAATGAGGGGTGAGGAAGCCTGATTTAATGACAACAGTTCCCTGTTAGGGCTAGGCGATTGGTACGTGCCACACCAAAGGCAAGAAAGGGCAGGCCCAGGAGAGGCCTAGGAATAGTTCTTCAAGAAAGGAGGCTGCTGTCCCTAAAGCTGGAATATAGTTCAAGGAGTTGGTTTCAAGGTCAGAAAAGGATAGCTGCAGCCCAACGGAGATCTGCAGGACCCAGAGGGGCAAACACTATCCTCCTCCTAGGGCCAGAGGAGCGGGAGACAGATGTCAACGCAAAGAATCAGCTGCAGAGAATGCCTTGAGGCCCAAAGACAGAGATCAAGCTTGAGTCTGACAGGCCTTCCTACAGAGGCCTGGGGAGCAGGTGGCATGGGGGCTGGACATGAGGGCCCCAGCAGGAGCAGGCAGGGTCACAGAGGATGCATGGCTGATGGAAGGGCCCAGGTGGGTGTGTGCACAGCCAAGGACCTGGGCCAGTCCTGGCTGAGGTCAAGAACTGGGTTGGACTGAGTTCAGAGACCTGGACTGTGATTGACCTGAGTGAGGGAAAGAGTAGAGTCCTGCAGAGAAAGGGAATTTTGTTCTTTGTGTGCCAGGAGCAGCTTCCTTGGACCATGTCTGCACTTCACAGCCATAAGGTGTGGCCTGGGTGGGTAGGAGCAGGGATAGGGTATTTCTGGCCCTGCAAGACTGTTGGGGGGTCTGGCGCAGACTAATTGGTAGCTACTGAGAATAGCTGCAGAGTTTTCCCTAAATCCTTGGAGTAAGTGGGTGTCCAGCATCTATCTAATCAAGCTCCTTTCTTTTTTTCCTAGAGGAAAGAAGCTCTCTTCTCCAAGCAAACTGACCAACCTGGACTCCATTCTCCTCCTTTCTAGACTGAGGAAGGATCGTAGGTCAAATTCTTGAAGGTTTGAAATGAATGTAAAGACTGAGTCCAAAAGGACTGCTAGCGAAAGGCAGTCTGTTCTCTCATCCCTTAGGTTCTTCACCTTTGGGTCCTCACCCAATGTTCCTCCTTCCCTGAGTCGATGCAGAGGGAGGAGGGGATTCCCCCACACTATCACTGCAGACAGAGGCGTCTTTCCATCGTCTCTGACCTCCTAGAAGCAATCAACTCTCAGGCTCTTTTTCCCCAGGTCAGACACAAAAGACTAAGTTAGACATTTCCCAAAGGAAACTGACTACTTTACTAGGGGAAAAGTCACATCAAAAGCATGATAGTACAAGACTGCAGGGATGGATGTGGCCAAAGGGAATTATTTTTTATTTAGGCAGAATCAAATTCTGCCTCAGGAGATTCAGCTGGCTCTAGTGTGGATGGATGCCAGGTTATTTCTCAAAGACCCAACCTTGCATGGCCCCTGGGGCTAAGCGACTCATTCTACCACAGCAAATGAATTCATGATGTGGGGCCAGGCTGCCTCCTAGCCTTGGGCTGAGATGCTGGTCAGCACTACATGGCATGAGACAGCCCAATTCCCAAGGAAGGGGAGGGAATTAATTATTAAGGACCTACCAGTTTGCATTTGGGTTTTCATTTAATCCCGTCAACAAGCAAGACAGCGAAGATTTGGCTAGTATGAGATCTTAGTTTGACCCAGTCAGGTTTCAAATAGCTATGGAGGAGACTGAGAAGTCTTCTAAGAAAAAGAAACAAATTAACCATGCTCACAGTTAGAATGCTGATATATTCAGATACATCTAGAGGAACTAGGGCACCAATAGAAGTCAAGAAGGGGCAGGTGATAATGTGCAGGGCTGGTGAGGGACCTTTTTTTTTTTTTTTTTTTTTTTTTTAGTAGAGATGGGGTTTCACCATGTTGACCAGGATGGTCTTGATCTCCTGAGCTCATGATCCATCCGCCTCATCCTCCCAAAGTGCTGGAATTACAGGCATGAGCCACTGCACCCAGCTCATGACATGCTTTTGATCAGTGTATAATTGGTGTAGCATTTTTTGTTTTTGTTTTTTTGAGATGGCCTCTTACTCTGTCACCCAGGCTAGAGAACAGTGGTTCAATCTTGGCTCACTACAACCTCTGCCCCGCAGGTTCAAGCTACCTCAGCCTCTTGAGTAGCTGGGATTACAGGTGCCTGCCACTGTGCCTGGCTAATTTTTTGTATTTATAGTAGAAAAGGGATTTCACCATCTTGGCCAGGCTGGTCTCGAACTCCTGACTTCATGATCTACCCGCCTCAGCCTCCCAAAGTGCTGGGATTACAGGTGCGAGCCACTGTGTCTGGCCTGGTGCAGCATTCTTGAAGGCAATTTGCTGTCGTTAAACATTTGCACACACATACTCTATGACAGCAGTTGCATTGCCAAGAATTTATTCTACAGATTTACAAGTATGCAAACGTTTGTGAACAAGAACATAAATTGAAGCATTGTTTATAATGTAAAATAATGGAAACAAATGCTCATCGGTAGGCGACCAATTGAGTAAAATAAATATTCTGTATCTACTGAAAAAATGAGATAGGGCCGGGCATGGTGGCTCACGCCTGTAATCCCAGCACTTTGGGAGGTAGAGGCAGGCAGATCACCTGAGGTCAGGAGTTCAAGACCAGCCTGACCAACATGGAGGAACCCCGTCTCTACTAAAAATACAAAATTAGCCGGGCATGGTGGCGTATGCCTGTAATCCCAGCTACTTGGGAGGCTGAGGCAGGAGAATCGCTTGAACCTGGGAGGCAGAGGTTGCAGTGAGCCAAGATCACGCCATTGCACTCCAGCCTGGGCAACAAGAGCAAAACTCTGTCTCAAAAAAAAAAAAGGAAAAAGAAAAAATGAGATTGGTCTCTATGTGCTAATATGGAACAATGTATAAGATAAAACTAGAAAAGTAAATTGCAGAAGAACCTTGCAATACTATCCCATTTGTAGGTTTTTAAAGAAAACTGATGACATACGGGCTTACAGTGGAATAGAAAACATCTGGAAAGAACACACATGAGAAGCTGTGAATAGGGGCTATCACTAGGGACTTTTACTTTCTTTTTATTTATTTGTTTCTTGAGACAGGGTCTCCTCCGTCTGTAAGGCTGGAGTGCAGTGGCGCCATCATGGCTCACTGCAGCCTCGACCTCCTAGGCTCACGCAAGCCTTCCACTTCAGTCTCCCGAGTAGCTAGGACCATGCCCCGCTAATTTTTGTATTTTTTGTACAGGCAGAGTTTTGCTGTGTTGTCCAAGCTAGTACTTCCTATCTTACATTTTTCTCTACTGCTTTGAATTTACTTTTATGAACCTATACTACTTTTTAAATGGAAAAGAAAAAAGTTAAAGAAAAAATAAGGGACCAGTAAGAGGTAATTCATCAAGAAAAAAAGGAATTTACCAAATGTATCCTTAGAAGCCAAACTCAGCCATAGGACCTAAAGGCAGGTAAGACATGGTGGCTGACTGATGGACCCTTCCCAACCGGCTGACATCGCCAAATGAACTGGGCGTTTGCTCTCACTCATTAAGCTTGATTTCCTTGAGACGCAGGCAACCTTGCTGTGGTCCCCTTTCCCGTTAGAAGCAGACTGTGGAGTTCTCAAAGCACAGAAGGGGAAGCAATGGTAGCTGGAGCCCCTGGCAGCCTGGCACTCATGAAAGAGTCTGGAGGCAGCAGGGATTGGATCTCCATTAGGCTGGATCTCCAGCTTAGTTACCACCAAGTCTTGGTACGGTGGAGGTGACGGCAGAACTGCAGGCATCCAGCAACAGCAGGAGGCAGTCATCAGGACTGGACTAGGAATGCATAGTAGGGGGCGGGTAAGACAAGCTTGGAGAATCTCAGAAACACTTGAGGAAAAGCTATCAGAGACTGGAATGTCTGAGTGAGTACTTAAGCAATTTAAATTAATGATATTCAGGTTTCACTCACTCATCTGATACACTGAGCTCTTATTATATGCAAGGCACAGTACCAACCACAGGAGATACAGCAGTGAACAAGGTAAACACGGAATTTATTAAGTTGAATTGGATGGAAATAAAATTGCCAATATTCAACTTTTGAGGACTTATAAAAATGATAATTTCTTATGGATCAACGTGAATACATTCTGGCATGAGAGAAAGAAAACAACACATAACCCAATTAATTGCTTCATTATAATTATGAAAAGAGCTACAAAAGAGCAATCTGATCTGATTCAGCCCTGTGCGTGTGTGTGTGTGTCTGTGTGTGTTGCCAGCCAAGAAAGACTTCCCTATAAGGAGTTATTTTAGAGGAAACAAGGGTGAAGAACTAACCTAGTGAAAGAGAGGAACAGAGATCATTCCTGGCCAAGTCTGGTGCAAAGGCCGTGAAGGGTAGGAGACTGGCATGTTCCTGGGCCTGAGAAGAAGGTGACTGCCTACAGGGAAGCAGGGGTGGTGGGATAAGGTCTAGAGAGAAGGGGGAGCCAAATCAGATAGGGCCTTGTAGACCATGATAAGGACTCTGGGTTTTATCTCAAGAGGTTTAAAAAAACACAATCGTGTATTCTTTGTATCCAAAAGCTGGCAATTTCCAGGGAACATTCGGGTTACAAAGAATGTTCTATGCCCTCCAGATGAGCCTGGAGGTTCACAGCTACAGGGGTAGTATGTGGTAGTATGCATGAGGATCAGAATCTAGGTCTTTCCAAATAGCTTTCTCCACCCTAGATGCCACTGGAAGGGTGGCAGGGGGATGAAACAGGCAGGGAGGCTGAAGAAGAGTCTCTAGGTGGAGGCCAAGGAGACCCCATGCACCCTGGGCACCCCCCTCCTGGGGCAGGAGCTCAGTGCCCAGCAGTCCTGGCAGAAGCGGTGCACAAAACAGCAGCAGATGAACAGGTCCAGGCAGCTGTTGAGGCTCAGCAGCACCAGGCTGAGGGTGTGCAGGACGTCGAGGGTGGAGGTGGTGTGACACCAGTCTCCGTTGCTGCCCCGCCCAGCCACCCAGGGTGTCAGCAGCAGGTGGTATGGTGCCAGACAGAGGACAAAGACCAGCGGGAGCCCCAGGACCATGGTCTTGGCAGGAGCAGGGCCCAGGCCCAAGGGCGCCTAGAGTGTTGGCGCCAGGCTCACATAGGCCGCAAGCACCAGCAAGAAGGTGGCCACGAAGAAGGCCACCGCAAGGTAGGTGGACACGTAGTAGGCCGTCCTGGCCGTGTGGCAGGCAGCCTCTGGGAAGGGCCAGTGGGCCAGGCCCAGGTAGTAGGTGAGCCACAGCAGCAGCATGAGTGTGAACAGCACATTGGCCAGGGCCAGGTTGAGCAAGTAGAGACGCAGGGCCTGGCCCAGGCGCCCGCTGCTGTGGACAAACACTGTCCAGGCAGCCATGTGGGTTGCAGCCCCAGGCCCAGTGCCAAGGCATAGGCCGCCAGCACCATGAAGAAGCGAGTGGGATCATCCCAGGAGCTGCAGTCACCAACACCCAGGTCCCCGGCACTGCTGTTCATCTCTGACCTTGAAGTAGCAGAAGAAAGACTACTGTGGAGGCCAGCCACAAGGGCAGCCCCGTTCTGTCTTCTCCCAGCCAGTCCCCGCTTCTTCATCACTTGCTGGGAGAGGACACTAGAGGCAGAGTCCACGTGAGAGGGAATGAGGACCGAACCCGGCCAGCAGGTAGCTACTGAGAGGAGGGGATGGACTCCAGAGTTTTTGGTGATGAGCTGGGGGAAGTGAGAATGAGGCAGGAGTCCTAGATAGCTTGGAAATTTCCAGCCTTGGTTACTGAGAGGGTAGAGCTGCCCCTCACAGATGGAGTATGGTTTGTACACGTTGGGGCACAGCCCTGTGCAGTAAGCCCACATAGGGCTGAGCCTACAGGGAGTTCTGGAGAAACAGGCTGGAATATAAAGGACGGTCCTTTCCAGAAAAAGCCCCAACCCCCTGTCCCTGTGCCACCCAGATGAGAAGCATGGATGGAGGAATGAGCTTCTCCATGGATGGAGGATGATGCAGTGACCCACCGGACAAGCCTGTGCACAGTGACCTCAGACTTGCCTTGGTCCTCTCCTACAGAACTGCCCCAGCGCTTGCCTGAAGCACCCTTGGGTGGGCTGAAAAGGTTTTGCCACTCTCAAGCCTTCCTAGCCTGTTTCCTCCCCGTCACTTTTTGACCACAAAGAAGTCCTGAGTCAGACTCAAAACTTTGGACAGAAAAGCAAAAACTGCACAGGCCCAGCAATCAGGCAGATTCTAGATACACACATCTATTTGCCATGTGACCTTGGGCAAATTACTCAGCTTCACTGAGACTGTCTTTGCTGCAGTAAAATGGAGATTAAAATACCTACCTCACAGGATTGTTGGGAGGATTATGAGAAAACATAAGTAAAACTGAGCCCTGTGGCTGTCACTGGGGAGACACTTCATTACCGTTAGCTCCCTTCCCTTCTAGGCAGCACATAGATAAATGTGTACACTCACACAGGCACACACAGTGTCAGAGACACAAACACCCCAGGCACACAAAACAACACAAAAACATCTGGGCACATTCCTACCCTCTCCCCAAGGGAGGTAAGTGCACAAACCAATGTCCTGATACTATTTGTGACACACTTACACATCCTTAGGCGGTCCTAAAACTCAGTTCTTCCAAAATTTGGATTTTTGCCTTTGAGCATCTCAGGCTCCAATCCTTTCTGAGACCCTGGGTAACTGTATTTCCTGTCCCCACTTCCTCTATTCTGTTCTTCATGGCTGTAGCCCCACCCTGACCCATCCCCTGTCATCCTACTAGATTGCTCCTTTTTTTTTTTTTTTTTTTTTAAGACAGCCTGTTGCCCAGGCTGGAGTGCAGTGGCACAATCTCAGCTCACCACAACCTCCGCCTCCCGGGTTCAAGCAATTCTCCTGCCTCAGCCTCCCGAGTAGCTGGGACTACAGGCGTGCACCACCATGACCGGCTAATTTTTGTTTTTTTAGTAGAAACAGGGTTTCACTACGTTGGCCACGCTGGTCTGGGACTCCTGATCTCGTGATCCACCCTCCTCGGTCTCCCAATGTGCCATGATTACAGGATTACAGAGCCACTGTGCCCAGCCCAGATTGTTCCTTTCTTACCTCTTGCTATAATGGCTGCTGGAGCTATCTCTGGGGTCCTGACTTTAAGGATCTCAGACAGGGCAGAATTCCCTCCCACCCACACATCCCAGACCCTCTCATCAGCCAGCTAATCCCAGGAAACGACATGAAGAATGGGCCCAACAGCTGGAAGGGCTGGAGCCCACCTGTGGCAGCTATGAGCTGGGTTTGTGGGGGTGCAGCCAGGGCCCCGAGGGGAGTGTCATCGGAGGACAGGAGAGCCTTCAGCACAGGGAGGGACATAAAAACGTATTAGGAAGGGCAGACAGCTGAACGTCATTGTGCTGAGCTGACCTAGATTTAGGCTGTAGTTTGGGGGGTACATTTCCTGAGGTCTGGCTTCTCCTTGGGCTGTTAGGGAGGCACTGCTTGGGCTCCAGATCGTCCTGCTGCTGTCAATCCCAACTGCTTGTAGTACATACCAGCTGGCCAGCCTACTCCTCTAGCACCCTGACTTTCCTGCAGCTGCTGGGCAGTCCTACAGCCAAGCTTGGGGGGTCCTATAGCTGCTTATCAGCCTACAGGCCCAGACTTGGTAAACAGGCACCTTCAATCTAATGCTAGCTGCAAGAAGTTTTACTCAAAGTCTGTCCTGGCAGGAGACTGGTGGTGGCATCCTGGAAGGGTGAAGAAAGTCTAAGGCCAGGATCCTAGGGGCTTCAAAACTTCCAGGCAAGGCTGGGCACGGTGGCTAATGCCTGTAATCCCAGCACTTTGGGAGGCAGATGCAGGGGGATCACCTGAGCTCAGGAGTTCAAGACCAGCCTGGCCAACATGGCAAAACCCCACCCCCCACCCCCCCAAAAAAAAGAAATTCCAAGCAGAGGGAAAATGCTGAAAAGCAGGGCAGATTTCATCACACCAGGCAGGTCATCCCCTCTACCCTCCGGCTGAACAGAACAGGGGTGCCATGCCTGTCCATTTTCAGCTTTGGCAGCTGGTGTAGTGAAAAGTTTGGGTTCTGGAATCAATTAGGCCTTAGGTCTAGTTCCAGGTCTGATATATAGGCACTTAAGCTTTCCAAATCCATTTTCTCACCTGTAAAACAAATTGATATTTAATAATATCGATAAGCAATATTGCAAATAAGCTCATAAGTGACAGAAACCATTGTCTACGCCCTCTTCTTCCTTGCTGACCACTCTGGGTAAATTTTTTTTTTTTTTTTGAGATGTAATTTTCCTTTTGTTGCCCAGGCTGGAGTGTAATGGTGCGATCTCGTCTCACCACAACCTCCACCTCCCTGGTTCAAGTGATTCTCCTGCCTCAGCCTCCCAAGTAGCTGGAATTACAGGCATGTGCCACCACACCCAGCTAATTTTGTATTTTTAGTAGAGACAGGTTTCTCCGTATTGGTCAGGCTGGTCTCCTGACCTCAGGTGATCCGCCCACCTCGGCCTACCAAAGTGCTGGGATTACAGGTGTGAGCCACTGCACCCAGCCAGTAAATCTTAGTCTAAGTCGATCATGGGAATTCTATTCTCCTGCCAGTGATTAGTCTAGGAATGGAAATGCAACATAATTCTGGCCAGTGAGATCTGTGGGAAAATGTAGAGTCTTCTAAGGCATCCTTCCTCTCTTTTCACCTTTCAGCATTATAGCAAATGCTCTGTCTGGAGCTGCTGCAGCTATTTCACAACTCTGTGGGCAACAGCCAATACACTGAAAGCAGCAGAGCATAAAGTTTAAAGAATGTTGATTCTTGATACCATCATTAGGCAGTCAAATTAAACAACATTGAAACTGAAGCGGGTATCTCTGGACCTCTTACAGGAGAGAAAAGGTTTCCTTATTGTTTTGACACTACCATTTATTTATGTGTAATCTATCCTTACTATAGGCAGACTGCACCACTGTGCTTTCAGACACAAGAAGAAAAAAATCCAACTGCAAGTGTCACCTTGCCTGAGGTTCACACTAGTCAGAATGGGAATTAGCATTTTATAGTGAACATGAAATAGAGTAACAGAGACTTCTTTCACTCCTGTGGCCTCCCAAAAGCCATTGTTCACACCCTCAAAGCAATTTGTAGGCTGATAGCTAGAATATTTGCATAAATAAGTGCGATGTTTCTCACTATGTTCCCTTATGGGAGGTACATCACTTCCCAAAAGCCCACAGCCCTGCCAAGCTAAGACAATGATGGTGGCATAATGGCAGGTGCCCTAACATACCGTCCACTTTTTCCCCAAGAACTGTCATACATATGCACCATTCCTACCCCCAAGGACCTCTGGGATTCCTCCCAGGCTTTGGGCCCTGCCGTACCATTCGCATTTCATGGAGTTGGTTGTCCCCCACTTCCGCATAGGTGTCAAGGAGCACTGGACTGGGTGCCACAGGTCACCACCAGAGCTTGATTTCAGGTCCTGTAAAATGACTCTATGCCTGCCTGTTAGTTGTGCAAATCTAATGTGTCAGAGAAAAAAAGGAGTGGGGGGGAATCTCTAATGTGGCTCAAAGGGCACAGGCAGAAGCAAGTACTTGTGCTCTGTGCCATACAGAACCTGTACATCTTAAATATGTATTAAATCCCTTAAAAATATGCAAGTAGGTTCAAAAAAACCTACATTTTTTTAACCAGCACCTTCACTTCTAGGGGAAGAAAATAAGTATGCAAAGGCGATTTACTGTGAGGCTTATAATAGCAAAAAAATTGAGAATAACCCAAATGTTCCTCATGGTGGGCGGTTGAGTAAATACAGTATAGTACATCCTTACAATGGAGTACTATGCAGCCATTAACAATGAGGCAAAAGAGACATGAAATGGTCTTATAGTATATTAGGTTTTAAAAGGAGGGAATAAAATAGGATATATGGTTTCATTTTCATTAAAAAATATATATATATATATCTGTTTAAAGGCACAGAAAAAAGTTCAGAGGTATAGTTACACTAAGGCATTAAAAGTGGTTATTTGGGGCATCAGAATTTTGGTTGATTTAAATTTCTTTTTTGCTTATTTTGTATTTTCATATGACATGAGGAACGTTAGTATGTATAACATGTACTCCTCACAAAAGAGTAGTAAAGCTAAAAAGAGAAAGCAGGGCCAGGTAGACAAGATGTCTCTTTCAACACTGGCTGACCCTGGATATTATACTGGTAACACGATGACAGACTGTGTTCTACCATGTTCCTGCTGTGACAGCTGCATGGCACAAAGAGGCAGAGATGCTCTACTTCCAGGATTCCTTGAATGTACTTAGAGTCTTCTTCCTAAGTGGGTCTGACCACCTTCTTAGTTTGGGCTAAGAGCTGGCCGACATCCAGCAGCAGCAGGAACACCAGGCAGATGATGGCTGGGATGCAGGTGCTTAGTGACTCTTTTAGAGCTGCCAAGGTGAAGATGGCCCCTGGAATGGAAAGTGAGGTCCCTGAGGCTTCCTGGAAGAACCCAGGAGATCCAGGAGCTCAGGGCTCTCCAGTTTAGGCTGACCCATTTCAGTCCAAGCCCTCCTATTAAACACCCCCCACCACTCCCAACGCACATTCCCAAAACTAGCTGCACTCATCTCTGGCCTCCTGGAGAATGCAGGACCAGGAAATTTAAGCCTCTTGAACAACAGTAGCAGTGTCAACAGTTGCCCCTCTCAGAGGACAAGAAAGAAACAGAAATGACCCAGCCAAATTCTCCCTGATCCTTTTTTTTTTTTTTTTTTTTTGTGATGGACTTGCTCTGTTGCCCAGGCTGGAAGGCAATGGTGCTATCTCGACTCACTGAAACCTCTGCCTCCTGAGTTCAAGCAATTCTCCTGGCTCAGCCTCCTGAGTAGCTGGAATTACAGGCACACACCACCACACCTGGCTAATTTTTGTATTTTTAGTAGAGACAGGGTTTCATCATGTTAGTCAGACTGGTCTTGAACTCCTAACCTCAGGGGATCCACCCACCTTGGCCTCCCATAGTGCTGGGATTACCCACATGAGCCACTGAGCCCAGCCCCTTCTCCTTTCTTAATCCTACATCTTCCAGGATTAACATGGAGGGAAGGATTAGCACAGACGCTGTTAGTTGGAGGTATGGGAAAGGTCTGAAAATGAGAGAAGCTGCAGAGATGGAAGCAAGCCTGAGAGCAGTGGCAGCAATGGTAACAGATGCTGGGGCATACAGAAGAGCCTGAAGATATCTGACCTTTGAAGCAGCAGCTGTCTTTGTACATCAGCAGTTCCTGTGGGCAGAGCTGCTAGCAGGGGGACTCTCCAGGGAAATTCTCTGCCTTCCTGTTCAAGGTTTCCCAGCTTCCCTGCTCTCTACACCAATCTGCCAGATACATACATCAAATGGCAGCTGCTGCCCTGTCCCCTCATCCCAGGAGTGGGCAAGTGGAGGAAGGGGCAGAGGTGCTGAGCTTGCAAAACATCTTCACAGAGAAGGGAATACTATGCAGCCATTAGAATTGAGGAGGTAGAAGGTACACTTAACATGTGATAGTGTTTTAGCATATTAAGTTTAAAAAGTACCTGTGCTAGTCTGAAGACCATGGAAACTGGTAGAGCAGAAGTGCTCTTGATTCCAGAGGTAAGAAGGGTGACAACAGTAAGGGTGAACAGCCAGGTCTTTCCATCATCCTCCCCCAGAAGACCCCATTTTCTCAGGCCAGTTGGCCCCCTTACCCATCATGAGCAGAATCAAGAACAAGTTACTGATCTCTTGCAGCATCGGTGGGCCTGTGACCAGCAGCAACCCAGCCAGCAGTTCCAGGAAGCCCACAGCTGTTTGGTAGCTCAGGGGATCTGGCTGGTAGCCAAACACCTTCAGCGGGAACACCTCAGCAAACTGCACGAACAGGGCTTTCTAGGGGTGGCAAGGAAGGCCTGTCAGCCATGCTCATCAGGGATGTGCTGCCCAGATGCTCCACAGCATATCTATGCCTGTGCCCTTAATTTCCCCGACAAAAGAACTACTACTATTCTAGGTCAGGCCCAGGCCTGAGGTCAGTCTAGAGAGGAGAGTGCTGCCCTGTAGTACTGAGCTTTGGAATCAAGAAACAGGCTCCATGCTCCAAGTGGTACAGAGACTGATTTTCTCACTAGACCTGTCAAGAGGTTACAGCCCAGCCCCAAATCCCAGGAGGAGGGAGCTGGGCTTGGCTCGTTTTCCTTTGTGCCTGGCCTGGTTTCTCTTAAGTTGATGTGCAGGGAATATTTGGAGGTGGGGCAGAGGTGGACAGGCTCATTAAACAGATTCCTCCTTGAATCTCCTTTGCTGGGTCCTGGATCCCACCGAGGCAGACACAAGGGCAGGGTCAGGTGGGCTCAAAGTGACTCTTCTTGTCAGGGCAGGTCCTCCCCTGAGCCAAATGACAACTTCATCCTGACTTTCGGAGTTATTTTTTTCTGTTCCCACTCCTCATCTCTACCTCCCTTCCTCAGCTCTGCAGAGAATTAGCTCCAAGCCGTCTGTCTCTGAGGATGTATCCAAGCCTTGGAGAGGGAGGTCAGCAGAGGTCTCCAAGTCTGGCTCTTTTGAGGGACTGAGGAGATTGGTGAGCAGGACAAGAAAGCTTTCCCATGAATCTGGAACTAGACAGAAGGCTGAAAAATGACCTCGGGGCTTCCCTTTCAGTCTTCATGAAAACGACTCTTGGGTTCTGAGTTAGGAGTGTCTAGTTTGCGTCCCGCTTCCTGACTAGATGTACAACCTTTAGGAGATATGCTTGCCCTTCAGGGCGGGCTTCCTTCCCTGCAAAGCCAGGATTACTACACCCCAACCACACGAACCTCCTCAGAACGGAGGCAAACGGTGAAAAGGGGGAAGAGAGCAGGGAGGGAGCTCAGTCGTTTTTCCAATGCATCTTCCTCCCCCAGGGTCCCGGGGAACCTCCTAAGGCTCAACTTTTTCCTGGGGCCATCAATGCTCAGTAGGAAGGGGAGGTTCTGTCCCCTTCCGTCTAGGGAAGGTCCAGAGAACCCGAGGAAATCCCCAGGCGGGACCCATGCCTTAGTCGAAAGCCAGGCGCTTTCCCCCAGCTCCTCCAACTGAGCCTCAGAAGCCCGAAGGCGGCCCGCCGGGCCGGGGAGCAGCGGGGCAGAGCACAAGCCGCTGCTGGCCCGATCCCCGGCCGCCCGCCCGCGCCGCTCACCATCCGCTCGGATACTGGAGCCGAGATCTGCTCCGAGAGCTTGGCCGCCCCCACGAGCGCGAAGAAGCCTCCCAGCAACACGCGCAGCACCGAGAGCAGAAGCGCCATGGCCGCGCTCGCCCCGCGGGACACCGAGCTCACCCGTCCGAGGGTTGGCCCCGCCGAAAACCCGCCCCTGCCGCCGGCTCATTTCCTCCCTCCCAGGGACAGCCGGAAGACTCGCGCCTGAGCTCCCGTACCCCACCCTCCAGGGGGTCGCGAGTCTCCAGCACTAGGGCAGAGTGCCCCCATCTCACTCGAGGACCACTGGCTCGTAACTGACTAAACCGGCGCCTGAGGATTCAGGAAGTGTTTCTCAGCCAATACGGAGTGCGGACAGACACGGGTGGGTGTCTGGGTGCGGCTCAGCTACCATCAAAAAGACTCCGGGCTTCGTACCTGCCTGTGCCACGCTAGCTGTGGGATCTGAGCTGTCACCCAACCCCAACGGTCCTCAGTATCTGCCTCTGTATATGGGGATAACTCAGTTCTCCAGAGTTTGTATAACAGGCCTGGGACAGTGCCTACACACGTAACAGCTCAGAAAGTTATTTGTAAATTAATTTATAAAGTTATAAGCAATAAATCAATAACCAGTAGTTAAATAAGTTTCTTTTCTGTCTTTGCCTGAGATATCTTTTCCCTCTAATTTCTCTCAGCTGAGATTGAAATGTGAAAGGTGTTTGAAAATTCAGATACTTGCAGCCATGGATAGAGAGGCTTTCACTGAACAAAGCCCTACAAAGCCACTCCTGGCCCATCTGCTCTTACCTGGAAATCTCTCTAGAGCTGGGATGGGCAAACCATGGGCCAAATTTGGCCAGCTATCTGATTTTTTCCCCATGCGTCTCCCCTTCCCCCAAGCTAATAAGGTTTGTTTACACTTTTTATGATAAAAAACATTTTTTAAAGAAGCTTGTGTGACATCAGAATTATATGAAATTCATATTTCAGTGTTCACAAATAAGTTTTATTTATACAGCCACACTCATCTGCATATTGTCTATGGCTGCTTTTGCAATGTAACTGCAGAATTGAGTCGTTGTGACAGTATGGACTGCAAAGCTGAAAAGATTTACTATCTCGCTCTTTATATTTAAAAAGTTTGCTAAACCCTGGTACAGCGGGCCAGAGAGGCCCCAAGCAGGGGTCTGAACCCTCCCTGCTGCTTCCATTTCTTGTTACCCAAGCTGTTTAGATCTATCTTTTCTGGCTGGGCACGGTGGCTCACACTTGTAATCCTAACACTTGGGAAGACTGAGGCAAGTGGATCACTTGAGGTCAGGAGTTCGACCTCACCAACATGGTGAAACTCCGTCTCTACTAAAAAAATAAATAGCTGAGTGTGGTGGCCCACACCTATAACCCCAGTTACTTGGGAGGCTGCGGCAAGAGAATCGCTTGAACCAGAGATAGCGCTTGTACCAGGCAGAGGTTGTAGTGAGCTGAGATCTCACCATTGCACTCCAGCCTGGTCAACGATAGCAAAACTCCATCTCAAAACAAAAAAAAATCTATCTTTTCCACCTACTCACAGCCTTGCTGGGGTAAGAAGCTGGTTGGCTGAAAGACTGAAATGTTCCACCTGCTTCTCAAGGCCAAGCTGTTTCCAAAATGCAGATTGTGCTGTTACATTATAAACTGGGCCTCTCATTACCTGCAGTCTTTGTCACTAATCCAAATTTATTAGTGAAATAACCACATTTTCTATCCTAGATTATAATTATACATATTTATAAAATCATAATTATTAAATTCCTCAACCAAAAAAATGAAAAATTATTAAAACATTTAATCACCAAAAACACAAATCCACATTAGGAAATTATCTTTTAAATACTTACACAAAACTTAATGCAAAATTATTGACTTCACTGATAAGCAATGTGCATGTTGCTACTCTTTCTCTTTCACTAATTTTTCTATCCTTGGAATTAAAGATGTGACTGCAAGTCTTAGGGCAGGGCCCGAAACCGACAGATTTCTTTGTTTTGACTCAGTCAAAGCTGAGAAGGCAGCATCACATAAATAAACAGTTGAGAAGGGTAATAAAAATTTCATTGCCTTTTCATGGAGTTCTGGGTATCTTGCCTTTGCATTTATCCAAAACTGAGTTACAGACACTGATTTAAATACTGATTGCAATCCTAAATCTGAAGATAGCTGTGTTAGCTTTTCTTCTTCGAAGTCGGTGAGATTATTATTTTGGTGATTCATAAAAGGGTTAATTATCCACAAATTTCCTGAACGTAAGTCTTGTTCTGGTGGAAAACAGTCACTGAACACTTGAGAAAGTCCTTCCAGGTGCTCAAAAATAATCCTTGTGATCTTTGTCATATTTAAGTCTGATGAATTTGAGAATTCAGAAAATGAAGGGAACATATCATAATCATTCTCTTGTGTGCACTTCAACCACACTTTTAACTTTCTCTTAAATACATCAATTTTATTACACAAATTGAAGAAAGTAGTCAAAGTTCCTTGGAGACTTAAATTTAATTCATTTATAAGTGAAAATATATCTGATAAGTAGGCCAGCTTTGCAACCCATTCCTCATCATGAAAATACTTGGCCAAATCTGAATGCTTTTGACTTAAGAATATTTCAATCTCATGTCGTAATTCAAATAATCTTTTTAACATTCTCCCTCTTGATATCCAACGTACTTCAGCATGAAGCGGTAAACTCACGTGCTCAGACCCCATCTCTTCACACAAAATTGTTAACATTCGTGAATTCAATGCATTGTTCTTTACAAAATTTAAAATTTGTGCTGACTGCAAAAGAATTTTATGTAAACATGGAGACATTTTTTCTGCGGCTAAATATTCACGGTGAATAAAACAATGTGTAAATGCTGCTGTATTCATGGCAACTTCTTGAATTTTTGCTTTTAAATCAGAATACCTGCCAGTCATGCTTGCAGCCCCATCGGTGCATAGACCAACACAATGTTTCCAATTCAGAGATTTACTATCAATATATTTATTTATTAGTTCAAATATTTCACAACCAGTTATTTGAGTAGGCATTTCAATGCAAAATAATAATTCTTCTTTTACATCATGACAATCATAATCAATGAAACGAATATAGCACAAAAGAAGTGTGATATTTGAGATTTCTGATGACTCATCTATCTGAAGGGCAAACCACTTTGACTCTCTGACCTTCTGAATCAGCTGGTCTTCAATATCTGCAGATAGTTCATCAATCCTGTGTTGAATTGTAATATTAGAAAGTGGAATTGTTTTCATTTTGTCTCCAGCACTTGAACCCAAAACTTCTGAACACATTTCTACTAAATACGGTTTAATTAATTCTTCAGCAATGGAGAATGGCTTCTTGCTTGCAGCAGTTTGGAAAGCAATTAAATAAGAAGCTTTCACAAGTGACTTTTCAACTAGTAAATACTTTTTTAAAGAACGATTTTGACATTCCATTTCTAGAGATTTTTGTTCAAAAAAATCTACTGGTTTGTTTTCTAATTCTGAATGTTTTGTCTTCAAATGATGAGAAAGATTTGCTGGCTTCATGTTTTCACTGGATAAGATCTCTCCACAAATGACACACTGTGGCCTTGGTGAACTTTCTTTTGATCCAGGACAGATAATAAAACCAACTTTTAAATATTCTGTATCATATGTCTGGAAAAAACCTAATCTTTTTTTCTTTGAAGGTGGAGAATCAAGTTCTGCATCATTTTTTTCATTAGGCATAGGTAAATCTGAATGAAATATTTGAATCACTGTTATTTTCAAGAACAAATAAGCAATGTTCTTTATCTCCTCACACATTTAAAATTCATATTTTGTTACTATTTCTATTTATCAAAAGAATGCATTCATCAAAGTTTAAGCACAAACCATAATACTTCCAATGATGCCACTGAAAACTGAATTTCTCCTTTGCCCAAAGCTTGATCACTGGGTGTAATAAAACTATAGGATGTGGTACATGTACAAGTAGTCCCAAGCACCCAATAGGTTATTGAAATTAGGGCTGAAGACCACAATACACATCAAATTAAGAATAAACCTTTTGGCTGAGCAGGGTGGCTCACACCTATAATCCCAGCACTTTGGGACGCCAAGGCGGGTAGATCACTTGAGCCCAGGAGTGAGACCAGCCTGGGCAACATGGCAAAACTCCATCTCTACAAAAGAAAAACAAAAATTGGCCAGGTGCAGTGGCACACACCTGTAGTCCCAGCTACTTGGGTAGCTAAGGCAGGAGAATTGTGTGAGGCCCAGGAAGTCGAGGCCACAGGTAGCATGATCAACGCCACTGTACTCGAGACTGTCTCAAAAATAAATAAATAAATAAAATTTTTTATTGGTTAGTGATACTAGTGCCAAAAATTTTTTTAAAGAAAATGAAAAAAGAGGCCAGGCACAGTGGCTGATGCCTGTAATCCCAACTCTTTAGGAGGCCGAGGCGGGCAGATCACCTGAGATCAGGAGTTCAAGACCAGCCTGGACAACATAGTGAAATCCCATCTCTACTAAAAATATAAAATTAGCCAGGCATGGTGATACATGCCTGTAATATCCCAGCTACTTGAGATGCCGAGGCAGGAGAATCGCTTGAACCTGGGAGGCAGAGGTTGCAATGAGCCAAGATCATGTCATTGCACTCTGGCCTGGGAGACAATAGAGAAACTCTGTCTCAAGAAAAAAAAAAAAGAAAAGAAAAGGAAGAAAAAGAGAAAGAAAACTAATGTTTTACTTTCAAACAATCCAGAAAAAAAAAGAAAAGAAATACTGCAAAAAATTAACATTTCATTAATCTGGATGAAGAGTACACTAGTGTTGACTGTACTGTATATTCAACCTTTCTGAATTTTGGTACTGAGCGTCAGTGAGGTTGTAGAGAAATGGATCCTCCTGAACACTGATGGTTGGAGCCTACATTGATATAACTTTTCAGAAGGGCAATTTATGCCTTTTCAGGAGGGCAACAGGTATCAAAAGCCTTAAGAATCAGTGATAGCCTTTGAATCAGTAATTCGACTGATTAGGATTTATCTTAAGGACATAATTAGACAAGTGGACAAAGATCCATTAACACAGCTTAACTCAACATTGCTTATAATATAAATATTTAAATTTCCAATCTTAGGGAGTTGGTTATATTATATACACTGAAATCTACGTTAAGAATCTCACACCCAGGTAACATATCTACAGATGTACCCCCTGAATAAAATAAGATAAAATAAATACAAAAAAAATTAAAATTGGAAAAAATAATCTCAATGTATATTTAAATCTATATTGACGTGGAATAATGTTTCCACTGCAACGTCAAATGAAAAAGTAGTTTCAATTGTTAGAAAACAATTCAAGATTTCTTCTTCTTTTTTTTTTTTTTTTTTGAGACAAAGTTTCACTCTTGTTGCCCAGGCTGGAGTGCAATGGTGCAATCTTGGCTCACCGAAACCTCTGCCTCCCAGGTTCAAGCGATTCGCCTGCCTCAGCCTCCCAAGTAGCTGGGATTAAAGACGCATGTCACCATGCCTGGCTAATTTTGTATTTTCAGTAGAGATGGGGTTTCGCCATGTTAGTCAGGCTGGTCTCAAACTTCTGACCTCAGGTGATCCACCTGCCTTGGCCTCCTAAAGTGCTGGGATTACAGGTGTGAGCCACCGCACCTGGCCAACAATTCAATATTCAATCTACAACTCAAAACATAAGCGCGCGCACACGCCCACAGATCCTTTAGTACGCTCCATGTGTGAATGTGTATATAATGTAAATTCAGGTACAAAGAATATATTATTTTAATAGGAATATAAAATAAAGTTCCTGAGGAAGGAAAACGGGATTCTCCTTGATTTCTACCAAAAGAAAAGTACCCTACATAAAAACTTACTACTTGTTGACAAACTAACCTTTTAAATATAGCATACTCTATGACATAAAATTATTATTAAAAACAAAACTCAGGCCGAGCACAGTGGCTCACACCTGTAATCCTAGTATTTTGGGAGGCCAAGGCCAGCCTTTGAACACCTGAGGTCAGGAGTTCAAAACCAGCCTAGCCAACATGATGAAACCCCATCTCTACAAAAAACACAAAAATTAGTTGGGTGTGGTGGCAGGCGCCCGTAATCCCAGCTGCTCGGGAGGCTGAAACAGGAGAATCGCTTGAATCTAGGAGGCAGAGATTACAGGGAGCCAAGATCACACCATTGTACTCCAGCTTGGGCAACAAGAGTGAAACTCCATCTCAAAAAAAAAAAGAATCAAAAAATGCTTTAGGTACCATAGACTATTTAAGTAACTGAAAATCTAAGGGTAGTGGGATTAAAAGTAGTTAACACAGACTGAGGCAATACTTTACAACTTTTTTCAAGTATAAGCTCAATTTTCATGGTCACTAACACCTCAGATAAATTAGTTGTACTGTTAGCAACTGATAATGGAATTTGCAGTGTTTTTTTTAAAAAAAACAGGTTAAATCAGTAATGCTTTTAACTAAAACTGTATGTTAGTAATTATAATAGCTTGTTATAACACCTGGTTATCAGTAATAATAATTATAAAAGCAAGTATTCAAAGTATGTGATCCAAGAAAAGGAATGTTTTCACATTTAAGAACCTGTCAATTATCTTTTTTCTTTCTTAGAAAACAAAAACAAGCCAGAAAACAAACTTTGTACATGGGAATTCACAAGGATACATACCTGTCTGACATTCCTTGTGCTGTGTATGTGGTTTGCAAGACGTGGCCTTGGTCTGTGTGACAGGCTTGCATAATACGCCTTTGTTCTTTAAAAACCTGGAAGGCTGGGAAGATTGGGAAGATGGAAGTTTCATAGCATCTGCCTGTGTACTTTCCTAGTTAAAAGCAAATTCAGAAACCAAAGAAAGATTTTTTTTTTAGTACCTTATCACTGACTATAATTTCTATCAATTGAAAGTTGATATATATCAAGAGAAATATAATTCCTCTGAGAGAGTGGTTGCAATAAAAAGTCACCTTGGAAAACACACACAGATTCCTAATTCTCCCATCAGTATTAGTTTAATTTATTGATTTTTAAAATATATCTATAAACTATAAAATATATAGTTTAAAAATAAGTATGATCAATGAAAACAATTATTAATCTTGCTGATTAGGACAACTGGCTACTCAGAAAAATTAGATCCAACCTCAGACCATACACAAAAATATATCCCATATCAATTAAAAATCAAAACAAAAAGAAAAAAAAAAACAAAAACTAAAGTCACTAGAGAACTTTCAAATAACCAGATGGCAAAGTATTCTTCTTAAGTAAAACACAAAAGAGTAAAACAAAGTAGGAAAGATTGATACATTTGACTACCTAAAAATTTAAAACTGCACAGATGATCCAGGATAATCTCCCTATTTTAAGGTTAACTGATTAGTAACCTAATCATTTTCTACCCTAATTCCCCTCTGCCATGTCATGTAACATATTCACAGATTCTGCAGACAAGGATATGGACATCTTTGGGAGGCTACTATTCTGCCTATCATAATAAAGTTTTTAAAAATAGATTTTTTTAACCTAAAAAAATTTCTGTAAACAAAGGTATTTATCAAACCAAGTTATAGGACAAACAACAGAGTGGAGGAATATACTTAAAACGTGGTCACTCGCTGGGCGCGGTCAAGCCTGTAATCCCAGCACTTTGGGAGGCCAAGGCGGGTGGATCACGAAGGAGGTCAAGAGATCGAGACCATTCTGGTCAACATGGTGAAACCCCGTCTCTACTAAAAATACAAAAAATTAGCTGGGCCTGGTGATGTGTGCCTGTAATCCCAGCTACTCGGGAGGCTGAGGCAGGAGAATTGCCTGAACCCAGGAGGCGGAGGTTGTGGTGAGCCGAGATCGTGCCATTGCACTCCAGCCTGGGTAATAAGAGCGAAACTCTGCTCAAAAAAAAAAAAGTGGTCACTCAATATTTATTTACTGAATGATTACTACAAGCCAGGCATTGTTCTAAGCCTTGGGGATACAGCAGAAAACAAGACAAGGTTCTGCTCTTATTAGCCTCACATTCTAGAGGAAGACACAAAACATAAACAAGTAAAACAAGTAATATATAATTCCAGGTAGTGATAAGTGCAATGAAGAAAATAAAGCAGCATATGGGAATGGAGAGTGATGGCATGGAGGAGGGTAATTTTGAAATAAACATCTGAGCAGAGACCTTTTTGAATTATTCAAAAGAGTAAGCCATGCAACAGCCTAAGGTCAGAAGAGTCCAGGCAGGGAGACTATAGGTGCGAAAACCCTGTGTGCGAAAAAGCTTGGCATACTTTAGGAACATCAACAAGAACAAGGCTGAAAGACAGTAAGCACGGGGAGAATGATACATTTGGAGACGTAGGCAGATTGTACAGGATCTGGAAGGTCTCAGTTAAAAACTAAATTAGGATTGTATTTTAAACGTGATGGGAAGCCATTGGAGGTTATACTTAAATTTACTTTAAACAAAAGTAATACATGAACTCAGTACAAAATTCAAAAGGTATGAAGTATTGGATTAGTACAAAAGTAATTGTGGTTTCTGCAATTAAAGTAATATATACATGAATGACTGCCATCTACCCAGACTCAACCTAGAACGCAACCACAGTTCCCAGTTTCTTATACAGTTGTTCCCCCTTATCTGCCAGGGATATATTCCAAGACCCCCAGGGGTTGCCTGAAACAAAGGATCACACTGAACCCTATATACATATGTAGATATATATATATATACATATATATATAAACTGTATGTGTGTACATATATATGTGTATATACACCAAACCCTATATACATACATATGTAGATATGGGAATCACTATTACCCATTTATTAGTTGTCTTCCAGGGGATATTCTATACTTATGTAGGGGGGAGAGGGGGAGAGAGAGAGAGAAAGAGAGAGAAAGAGAGAGAGAGAGAGAGAGAGAGAGAGAGTATGTGTGTGTGTGTGTGTGTAACACAAATGGCACCGTTATACAACTGTCTTTTTTTCACTTATGATATTTGAGACTGCTCTATGTCTGTACATACTAAGCTGCCACATTCTTTTTAATAACTGTGTAATATTCCATTGTTATAGATATATACCTTGCTCAGTTTTCAGTTTTAACTACAGCCTCAACAAGGCCACTGTGCATGCCTGTGCAGCAATTCCACTTGCCAGGCCAAACAAATAGGTGTGAAATTCAAAAGGGTACATTTTGAAAATAGCTCTACCTGCCCATGTAGAGCTATTTTTTTTCTAATTCACACAATAATTCAGAGTGAAATACACCATGGCCTGACCACTGGTGAAATAATTAGGGTTTTTTTCAAGCTTCTGCTACTACAAGCAATGTTGCTGTGATTAAAATCCTTGTACATGCTTCATTTCATAAATGTATAAAATGTATCTGAAGAATAAATTCCTAAAAATGGAGTTCCTGGGTAAATGGTATTTAAAATTTTAACAGGTTCTACTAAATTGCCCTCTGTAGCAGTTTTATCAATTTACACTATTCTAACTATTGGCAGTAAGAATACCTTAGCAGTGTTATCCATCATTTTTCTTTGCCAGTCTGGTTAAACTGTAGTTCTAACCAGCATTTCTCTAATTTTGAAGTTGAATGTTTTTGCATATGTTACTTTTGCCCATTTTCCTACTGGTATTTAAATTGATTCATAGAAGCTCCTTGGGGATGTTTTGTTTTGCTTCTTGAGACAGAGTATCGCTCTGTTACCCAGGCTGGAGTGTAGTGGCGTGATCTCAGTTCACTGCAACTTCCACCTCCCGGGATCAAGCAATTACTTGTGCCTTAGTCACCTAAGTAGTTGGGATTACAGGCATGTGCCCCATAGCTGGCTAATTTTAAAATTTTTAGTAGAGATAGGGTTTCCCCATGTTGGCCAGGCTGGTCTTAAATTCCTAGCCTCAAGTTATCTGCCCACATCGGCCTCCCAAAATGTTGAGATTACAAGCATGAGCCACCTTGCCTGGTCCATAGAAGCTCTTTACATATTAAAACAACTAGATTTTTGTAATAGGAATCGTATGTAACCTTTTCATTTTGTCACTTATCTTTTGATTTTGAAATATGGTTGAATTGCCTTATTGATTCTTTTATGGCTTCTGGGTTTTGTGACATATTTAGAAAGACTTCTACACTGTTAAAATTTTTTTCCTACTTTTTCTGAGTATATACTTATAATTTCTTAAGTCTTTTCTCCATCTGAACTTTATTTTGGTCTAAACTGTGAGGTACAAATCTATATTTTCTTCCATGTGTCTACTCACTTGTAACAGCATTATTTATTAAATAATCCATATTTTTCCTACTGATGTGAAAGGATACCTTTATCATTAGAAAATTCCCATATATTAAATATATGTTTGGGCCAGGTGCAGTGGCTCACGCCTGTAATCCCAACTTTGGAAGGCCGAGGAGGGTGGATCACGAGATCAGGAATTCAAGACCAGCCTGCAAGATGGTGAAATCCCAACTCTACTAAAAAATACAAAAATTAGCCAGGCAGGCATGGTGGTGCACACCTATAATCCCAGCTACTCAGGAAGCTGAGGCAGAGAACTGCTTTAACCCGAGAGGCAGAGGTTTCAGTGAGCCAAGATCACGCCATTGCACTCCAGTCTGGGCAACAGAGATGCCACCTAAAAATATATATATATTTGGGCCTATTTCTGAATTTCTTGTCTGTTGGGTTGTCTGTCTATTCATGCACCAGTACCAACTGTTTTAACTATGTGGCTTTATAATATCTATAGTTTTCCTATAATTTCAATATGTGGAAACTAGCTCTTCGCCTTCTTTATTCTTTTCGGAATTTCACTGAAGGTTTTTGAGCAGAGGAATGACATGATCTGATCTGGGTTTTTAAAAGATCATTCTGGCAACAGTGTAGAGAAAAAACTGCAAAAGAAAAAAATGGAAGCAGGATGACAGGTAGGTCACTGCAATAATCCAAAAGAATGATGATGCTCAGACTAAGAAGGTGGTAATGGCATGGTAAGAAGTAGAGTTCACTGGAGAGAAGTCTGGGGGGGATAAAAGGGTTCTGTTTTCGACATATTATTTGAGATGGCTGTTAATCATCTAAGTGTAAATGTCAAGTCAGCAGCTGGATACATGAATCTGGAGCTCAAAGGTCAGGGTAAGAGAAATAAATCTAAATAAATCTAGAAGGAATCAACCACCATCTAGGGGGTATTTAAAACCACAGGACTGGGCCAAGCAAAATGGTTCACACCCTGTAATCCTAGCACTTTGGGAATCTGAGGTGGGAGGATGGCTTGAGACCAGAAGTCTGAGACCAGCCTGGGGCAACATAGCAAGATCTCATCTCTATTAATAATGTACAAGGAGCCAAGCATGGTGGCATGCCACTGTAGTCCCAACTATCAGGAGGCTGAGGTGGGAGGATCTCTCAATCCTGGAGGGTTGAGGTTGCAGTGAGCTGAGATCACACCACTGCACTCAAGACCCTGTCTCAATCAATCAGTCAATAAAACCACAGGACAGTATGAGTTCACTAGAAATAATGTAGACTGAGAAAAGAGCCAAGCATGATGTTCTGGAATCTGAGTGAAGAAGGTATTTCAAGAAAGGAGGAAAGAGTGACTGTGTTAAATACAGTAAATTGACTACTGGATTCGGCAAAATAAAGACCGATAGCAACATGGATAAAACCAGTTTCAATGCAGTGATGCAGACAGAAGCCTGACTAGAATGACCCAAGGAGAGAGAACAGATAAGGAGGCAGAGGCAGCAAGAACAGACTACCTTTAGAGGAGTTTTTCCATAAAGAGCAGAGAAAAGGGATAGTTGCTGGAAGGCCATGGTGTTCAAAAGGATTATTCTCAGATAAGGTGTAGGACTGCATATTTTTGTGTTGATGAAAATGATGAGTAGAAAAGGGGGAAAATCCAGAATACATAAAGGACACCTAAAAATCAATAAGAAAAAGATAATTCAACACAAAAATGGGGAAAAATTAAAAACAGGAAATTCAAGAAAAGACCAAAAACAGAAATATAAGCAAATCTACTGGTAATTAGTAGGCGCACAAAATAAGACAACAATAAGATGTCACAAAACAGACTGGCCAAAAAATTTTAAATATGATAACATTAAATGATGGTAAGGCTGTAATATATGGGTACAATCATAACTGTTTTGGTAGGAATAAAAATTGGAACAGCCCTAAAAATGAAAATGCTCTTTGACCCAACAATTCTACTCTCCCATTTCTACACATCTACACACACAGAAGGAGACATATACAAGGATATTCACTGCAGCAGTCATTTTTATTTACTCATTTATTTTGAGACAAGGTCTCACCCTGTTACCCAGGCTGGAGTGCAGTGGTGTGATCTCAGCTCACTGCAGCGTCAACCTACCTCCTAGGCTCAAGCAACCCTCCTACTTCAGCCTCTCGAGTAGCTGGGATTACAGGCGTGTGCCACTATACCCAACTAATTTTTTGGTATTTTTTAATAGAGATGAGGTTTCATCATGTTGCCAAGGCTGCTCTCAAACTCCTGGGCTCAAGTGATCCTTGGCCTCCCAAAGCACTGGGATTACAGGTGTGAGCCACCACACCAAGCCCCAAAGACTTTTTTTTCTTTTTCTTTTTTGAGACAGGGTCTCACTCTGTCACCCAGGCCAAAGTGCAGTGGTGCAATCAAGGCTCACTACAGCCTTGAACTCCCAGATTCAGGTGATTCTCCCATCTTAGCTTCCCAAATAGCTGAGACTAGAGGCACTTGCCACCACACATAGCTAATTTTTTGTATTTTCAGTAGACATGGGTTTTTGCCATGTTGCCCAGGCTAGTCTCAAATGCCTGAGCTCAAGAGATATGCCCATCTTGGCCTCCCAAAATGCTGGGATTACAGATGTGAGCCACCATGACCAGCCACAGAGATTTTTAATGGTGAAAACCTGGAAACAATCTAATGTTCATCAATAGGACAATGGATAAATAAAAAGTGGTACCTATAGGCAAAACATTACTATAATCAACAGGAATGTACCAAGCCTACTCAGTATTAACATGGATAGATTTTTTTTAAACAATATTAAATATTTTCCGTGGATCTATACCTATGAAAGATTACAAGACGGTCTAAAAGAACACACACTAAACTCATAATAGTAGTTGCTTCCAGGGATGTAAAAGGGAGACTAACTGGTAGTAGCAATTAATTTTTTAAAAAAGAAGAAAAAGGTAGGGGAAGAAACTGAGCAAATAAACCAAATCTAACAATGGTTAATTCTGGATGGTGGGAATATCATAGACTGGTGGTTGGCAAACTATGGCCTGTGTACCATGTCCGGCCCACCATCTGTCTTTGTAAATAAAATTTTATTGGAGGCCAGGTGCGGTGGCTCACACCTGTTATCCCAGCACTTTGGGAGGCTGAGGCAGGGAGATCATGAGGTAAGGAGTTGAAGACCAGCTTGGCCAAGATGGTGAAACCCCGTCTCTGCTAAAAATACAAAAATTAACTGGGCATTGTGGTGGGCATCTGTAATCCCAGCTACTGGGGAGGCAGAGGCAGAGAAGTGCTTGCACCTGGGAGGCAGAGGTTGCAGTGAGCCAAGATCGCACGCACCACTGTACTCCAGCCTGGGCGACAGAGTGAGACTCCGTCTCAAAAAAAAAATTTACTTGAACACAGCCAGGCTCACTCTTTAATGTATTATATATGGCGGCTTCTGCACTACAATAACGGAGGAGACAGAGTCTAGTTACAACCATAAAGCCTGCAAAGTCTAAAATATTCACTATCTAGACTCTTATAGAAAAAGTTTGCTGAGTCTTACAGATTTTCTTCTTTGTACTTTTCTGTATTTTTCACCTTTCCCAAAAATTTAAAACCATTTAAGTAACTTGAGGGAGATTCACAGCAAAGTCCTCAGAGAAACCAAGAAAAGATTCTAAAACTGTCAGGTTTTTTTTTTTCATATTGTAAGAGTGTTACATTATTTATTATTATACTTTTTATAGACTAAAGTAAAAACATTCATCAGAACGATTCTGTAACACAGTTTAAATAACTGGTGAATTATAGAAATACTCCACATAGGGAAAACATATATAGAGCAGCTACATGAAATAGGAGGTATATTTTCTTAAAAGACTAAATAATTAAAAACTAATATAATTCAAGACTAATTATCTCATACACGTAGAGGAAAGACACATTCTCAGAGTATATAAATCTATAACTAATATAGAATGTTTTTATGAATACATGTTAATACTTATTAACATGTAACAATACATTAATACCTTGATTATACAATTGTGTGGTTAATAATTACTAATGTACAACACAGTGATTTATTATGTGATTTGAAAATATAATTTAATGCACAATACATAATATACAAGTAAATATCAAGTTAATTTAATGACAGTTCATTATCTAATGTGGCATACTGCTTGAAAATAATTAAGGAGAAATTATGATCACCTTCCAATAACACAAATAATGAGAGAGCTAAGAGACACTAAATTAAGACAAGCTATCTCTCCAGATTACAATGAAGGCTGGTCTGATTCTGTGGAAGACTTTTGCTAAAGAATGAATCTAATGTAGTTTGAGAGTTTTTTCTTTCATTTTTTTTTTTTTTCCACTGAGGATTTCTTAATATGCAGACACATTTTTCATCTTTAGCCTTCCCACCACGAACAGCAATCCACATTTAGATCACCTTCAAAAATAGTGCTGCTGAAATATGGTCAAAAACCTATGGCAGTCACTTTACTGTTAGTTGTTCCCAAGGCCCAGATTGATTGCTAGGACCCTCTTCCAGCTGCCTTTGTTTTTCTAATTCTAGCAAGACTTCCTTTATTAATCCATGGGGGACAACCCAAGCAAACATTCAATATCCCCTTCATGAACTCTGTGCAAATCTACCTTCTGTTCTACTTTCACAGATTCCTCATTAGCAGGTGTTATGTTGTCTTCCAAGCTAAAGCCTCTTTAAATTACGGTAAAGCTGAAATGATAGCTTTGGAGTTAGCAGACACAGCTTGCCAGCTCATTTTTATATTCCTAAAACCTTGGTGGGCTTTAAAATCAGAGAACCAGCCATGACTTGTAGTAAATCTTGTGTCTCACTGTCACCTCTTTTCAAGTCAAAATCAAAATACTCACACCTCAGCACAAATGATAGATTGCCCTCAGGGGTGCATAATGGCACCATTGATCTTGCAACTTGTATTGAGAGGATTTTTTTTCCATTTATTCCATTATCATTACCTGGTTATAATTTTTATGAACTAAGTGGCATACCTGCTTTAATACTGCTTTTGATTTTTTGAGCACTACTGCAAATATTCTGCAGGGTACACTCTCCTAAATTAACAGCACGAGATAACACAGCAGTGGTTTGAACATCTTCATAGATTTTTTTTTTTTTTTTGAGACAGAGTCTCTCTCACTCTGTCACCCAGGCTGGAGTGCAGTGGCTCGATCTCAGCTCACTGCAAACTCCAACCCCGGGTTCAAGTGATTCTCCGCCTCAGCCTCCTGAGTAGCTGGGATTACAGGGGCCTGCCACTGGGCCCAGCTAATTTTTTTTTTTTTTTTGCGTTTTTAATAGGAACAGGGTTTCCCCAGCTTGGCCAGGTTGGTCTTGAATGCTAACCTCGTGATCCACCCGCCTTGGCCTCCCAAAGTGCTGGGATTACAGGCATGAGCCACTGTGCCTGGCCTCCTTATACCACATCTAACTTTTGTTCTAAAGTTATTAAATTTGGGGAACAATTTTAAGCACTAGCACCACCACTTAATATAACACTTAAATGACACTGTTCTACAATATGAAAAAGTTTTGATTATATCACGAGCAAATGTTAAGACAGCAGCACAAGCTGGGTGCCATCAGCTCACACCTGTAATCACAACAGCTTGGGAGGCTGAGGCAGGAGGATCACTTGAGACCAGGAGTTTGAGACTAGTCTGGGCAATATCACAAGACCAAGACCCTGTCTCAACAAAAGAAAAAAAAAAAACAAAATAAGCTGGGCATGGTGGTAGACACCTGTGGTCCTAGCTCCTCCAGAGGTTGAGATAAGGGATTACTTGAGCCCAGGAGTTGCAGTGAGCTATGATCATGCCACTGCACTCCAGCCTGGGCAACAGAGCAAGAACCTGCCTCAAAAGAAAAAAAACACACATAACATAACAGTCACCAAAAACATTAACCCAAGACCTGATAGAGTATCATGTGACACTGATGAAGGATGATGGGAATTTTGTTTTCCTGCTAAAGTGATGCTGATACAGAGCAACAATGCCATAATTTGCAATCAGCCTGCCAGACTTTAAATTATGCATTTCTTGAACATTTCTTTTAATTGTGAGAAGTCTCACAATATTTCAAATTTGAGACATAAACTGGAAGTCTAAATATATTTTTACTTTGCACTATTTTCAGACTCACATAATTCAAAGTTGCATAAAACAGGACTATACTGAACTTTCGAAACTTCTAAAAGGAAACTACTTGAATACAGTAAAAGAGAAAAATAATGTAGTCTTGTTATTTCCAACCAGGTGAAATTAACAAGAATTTAAATAAATTAAAGAACCTGAATACAAATAATAAATCAGGAATGTATTCTTACTAATGATCTAAGATTAAACTTTAAGATTCAAAACAAAAGCGCACAATAGATTACTACACTTTTTTAAAGACTAAGCTTGCCACTATGAATAGCAATCCACATTTACAACATCTTCAAAAATAGTAATTGCTGCTGAAATATGATCAAAAGCTTATGCTAGTCACTATACTGTTACTTGTGCTCAAGATCCAAATTGATGACTAGGACCCTCTTCCAGCAAACAGAAAAGTATTCAGATATTAAAATGCTATATCCAAGGTGAAAATAAGCCCAAGTGGCATTATCAAGAAAAGTATTAACAATCAAACTCACATCTTCAATGATCTTTGCTGACTCTTTGGTAACTGCACCTGTTGTAAATTAAAATAAACATTATTATTTTTAGAATATACAGAAGTAAACATGGAAACCAAGAAGTTACTTTCCTCCAATTAAGCTGAGCTACAGACTAAACCAGAATTTCTCAGAAAAATGGTACAAGGAAACTCTGCATCAGTATCACCCAGGATGCTTAGTAAAGGTAAGTATTCCTGGACCCCAACCCAATCCAGCTGTATTAGAATTTCTGGCAGTAAAGGAGTAGGATATTTAAATCATCTGGGCTCCTAAAAAAATACCACTTTCAGGGGAGTGTTTCTGAGCCTACTCTGGCTCGAGGGGCTGCCTGATTAAAAGAAAAAAAATTAGACAGGTGTGATGACCTATAATACCAGCACTTTGAGAGGCCAAGGCAGGAGGATTACTTGAGGCGAGGAGCTCTAGACCAGCCTGGCCAACATGGTGAAACCCCATCTCTACCAAAAATATAAAATCAGCTGAGTGTGGTGGCAGGCACCTGTAAACCCAGCTACTCAAGAGGCTGAGGCAGGAGAATCGCCTAAACCCGGGAGGCGGAGGTTGCAGTGAGCCGAGATTGCACCACTGCATTCGAGCCTGGGTGACAGAGTGAGAATCCGTCTCAAAAAAGAAAAGAAAAAAATTAAAAATGGAAAAAAACAAAAACACTTCCTTTCCCACCCACACCACCTTGCTTGCTATCTACTTCCCTGTTGGGGAGCGGGGGAAGGATGTTCCCTTATATCAAGTAAGGAAAGATATTACTAATAAGAACTACTGGCCAGGCGCAGTGGCCCACACCTGTAGCACCAGCACTTTGGGAGGCTGAAGTGGATCACCTGAGGTCAGGAGTTTGAGACCAGACTGGCCAACATGGTGAAACCCTATCTCTACTAAAATTGCCAAAATTAGCTGGGCGTGGTACCAGGCACCTCTAATCCAGGTACTCAGGAGGCTGAGGCAGGAGAATAGCTTGAACCCAGGAGGCAGTGGTTGCAGTGAGCTGAGATCTCACCATTGCACTCCAGCCTGGGCAACAACAGCAAAATTCCATCTCAAAAAAAAAAGAACAACTTAGGCTAGACAACACTCACTTCTATGGCTTAGTCAAATGCCATTATATCAAGTCACACCTTTTAAAACACTGTTTCCTGTAGATGAGGCAGCAGGTATTTGTGCCAATGACACCACACTGGTTATAACTGGTGTTGTATTTGTCCTTGAAGAAGGGAGCTCCACCACAGCAGTTTTCACCTTAGAAATATTTCCTAATTAAAACAAAAAGTTAAGACCTGGAATAAGCAAAAGGGTCTCTCTCACACACACTCACACTTACATACACACACAAAACCCTGTTTAACAACTAGGTGTTCAAGAAGCAATGCAAATATCTGATTCTGTATAATGTTAGGTTGGGTGATTCTGTTCAAATTAGTGTTCATTAGGATTTAAACAGAGTCCCATTCTATAAAATTATAAACCTCAAATGACATTTATCAGGTAAAAATACAGGTGTTGGATACAGTGGCACCAGCCTGTAAACCCGGCTACTTGGGAGGCTGAGGCAGGAAGATCACTTGAGCCCAGGAGTTCGAGACCAACCTGGGCAACATAGCAAAACTAAGTCTCAAAACAAAAAAACAGGTATTAGCTTCAGGATTCACTGCATTGTTTTATTAGTGACTATTAGAACTTCTAGACCTAAGTGTGCATCAACTAGAAACTTAACCTGAAAGTTTTTATAAAAAAGTTAATGAGGGAGCTGTCCAACCCCGTAACAGTGGTTTTCTCAACACATATTCTACCACCAACCTGACTGGTCTGGGGAATGGAGGACTAACACAAAAGATCATCACAAGGCATTTATGATTAAGGTAAACATTAATAAGACTGCAAAGGTAGGCAATGGCCACCCTGCAAGAAGCCAAAGCTCTGTCAAGTAGGTACCACCACAGGCTTTAATCAGAGAACACAATGCCAACTGTTTTTTTCTCTCTAAGAGAGAGAATATCAGTCTGTCACCCAGGCTGTAGTGCCATGGCATGATCACAGCTCACAGCAACCTTTGTCTCCCGGGTTCTAGTAATTCTCATGCCTCAGCCTCCTGAGTAGCTGAGATTATAGGCATGCACCACCACATCTGACTAATTTTTGTATTTTTAGTAGAGATGGGATTTCACTATGTTTACCAGACTGGTCTCAAACTCCTGGCCTCAAGTAATTCGCCCGTCTCAGCCTCCCAAAGTGCTGGGATTACAGGTGTGAGTTACCACACCCGGCTACCAAATGCTTTTAATCTAACACTAAGAAAGAAACATTTAGGAGAGCTACTTTATGAATACACCATGGATCTATCTACTCACCTGGATAATCTGACCACATTAGCCGTCCTACTTGAAAAATGATTTTATTCTTAGCCAGGATAAACTTTGCTACCCATGAAGAACTGATCTATTTTATATTTTTTGAGATAATTAATGTGTTGTTCTTTTCTCCTTGCCTATAAGCAAACTCTGAATCAAATTTTACACCAGTCATAGCAACTATATTAACTACAATCTCCCTTTGTTTGCCCTGATTTTCTATTTTTATTTCTACTTTATTAGCTAAATAGTATATATTCCTAGTTTAAGTTATGTACAGACACATTCAATCAAACTCAATCAAATCTAACTTTCCTATAAAAATTAGTGCATATATATTATTTGTCTTTTGGTGTGCTGCACTATCAGAGCAAAAAGCACTAGAATTAATTTTCCCTCAAGGAGAAATCTTAAAGACTTCTTAAGGAAAAATTTAAGGAAATTCAGGCTATTTGAAGCCAGTGAAATTTTTTTTTATTATATTATTTACAACTGTGTGTGCTGATAGTGTACTACAACTGACATAAAGATCCCATCAGCTAAGTTTAATTTTACCTTTATTTTGTGGAAGAGAGTCATTCATAATTTGCTGATGACAAAACTCCAAAACACAAAATAGGTTACAGAAATGTTTGATGTTGCCTCGCCACTTTATAGACTCGCTTAGTTTACCCTGTCGTTTACAACCATCACACTTGGCCATCTGAGAAGCAAACATTAGACAAGATAGGCTTAAAACTATAAAATAGCGGAAAGATAACAATCATGAAAAGAGGCACTATAAAAACAGGATACATGAGTCAGTTGAGACTACAAAATGTAAAGTTCTTACCTTAAAATACTGATTTTAAAAATATATATTTAATTATTTGTTTCATATAGATGCCCTAAATCAAGATAATATAAAAATTGTGGCCTGTAATCCCAACCCTTTGGGAGGCCGAGGCAGGCAAATCACTAGGTGAGGAGTTCGAGACCAGCCTAACCAGCATGGTGAAACCTGTCTCTACTAAAAATACAAAAATTAGCCAGGGGTGGTGGTGCATGCCTGTAATCCCAGCTAATCAGGAGGCTGAGGCAGGAGAATCACTTGAATCCGGGAGGCAGAGGTTGCAGTGAGCTGAGATCATGCCACTGCACTCCAGCCTGGGCAACACAGCAAGACTCTGTCTCAAAAAAAAAAAATTGCTCTTCTGTTTTCAAAATTACCAATAAAGGAATCTAAAGACAGGTTCATAACCAGGTATGGTGGTACACGCCTCTAGTCCCAGTTACCCAGAGGCTGAGGCAGGAGAATCGCTTGAACCCAGGAGGCGGAGGCTACAGGGAGCCAAGATCTCGCCCCAACCTGGGCAACAGAGCAGGATTCTGTCTGGAGAGGGCAGTGTGGGGAGGGCTGGGAAGAAAAGATACACAATGAAGAAAAAAGTTAAAAAAGTACATATAGGTTCAACTTTAAAAAAATTAAGAAGCAGCTTACAGCAGTTGATACAACATGAACTTTGGAGTCAAAGATTTTTATTCATTCAGCAAATATTTAATTAGACATCCTTTGTCTTAAACACTGTGACTGGTCCTAATTATACAATCATGAAAAATATACTACCCTCTCCTGACAACAAAATTCTATTTTGGGGGTGAAGTAGACAAGCACACAGTGATTTCACCAGAGTTATAGATGCTATCTTGCTGTCACCTACCAGCCTCCTCAAGAGCATATTACTTGACATCTCTGGACCTCTCTCCTTTTCCTTATTTATAAAATGGCAATAAGAGACTTACCTCTTGGGACTATGGTAAAGATTAAATGAAGTAACACTTGTGGAGCACAAGACATGTATTAGTGGTTCAGTTAACTATAGCTACCAGTTAGCCTTTCAAAAAGTTAATCTTTTTTAAAAGGAGGTCATAATGATTGCCAGTTATTGTCCTTTAGCCTATGAAGTGAGACAAGGTCTGACTTCAAATTCCTCAGAGTAGCCTGAATGAGAGAGCCACTTCAGGCAACATTATGTGAAATTCTAACCTGAAAGAAGTCGAATAAGGACAATGTGCCTTATAAGAAGGCAAAAATAAAAGGAATTTATCCAATCAACAACAAAGTCTGCAGAAATCCTATACTCCTTTTATCCCAAAGGCTTCATGTTTATATTCAATTGAATTTTTCTATTATAGCCCATAATTATTTTATCCAGCTCTAAACACCAAATTTTTCTTCACATTATCTGAACATATTTTAAATAGAAAACAATTTGCACTAATTTCAGGAAGCCAAAAACAGTATATCATCACATTTACCTGATAAAACAGAACTGTAAATTTGGACATACAATCTTCACAACAAAACTCTTCTAACTTGCCCTCCAATCGATTTTCCACCAAATTCGGGGATGTCTGTGAACAATAGCTGCACATCTTACAGTAGTTTCCCCATCGTTCCCCAAAGTCACGGGCAGAGAGGAATTTGCAAACTGAGGATCAGAGGGATAAAAGGAAGAAAGATCAAATTTACATTAACTTGGAGAAGGTAAAATAAGTTTCTGTGGTCTTAGATATAAAACTTTAATTTCTAAATATTGACGTAATTATTTGCCTGTAGATTACAGGATAGTCTCTATATTCACAAACCAAACTTATACCACCTTTTAAATATACTCTAAATATTAGGCCATTTATATTCAGAAACATTCGGAGGTATAAAAGTTTTTTTTTTTTTTTAGATGGAGTTTTGCTCTTGTTGCCCAGTCTGGAATGCAATGGCGTGATCTCAGCTCACCGCAACCTCTGCCTTCCAGGTTCAAGTGATTCTCTTGCCTCAGCCTCCCGAGTAGCTGGTATTACAGGCATGTGCCACCATGCCTGGCTAGTTTTTTATTTTTAGTAGAGCAGGGGTTTCTCCATGTCGGTCAGGCTAGTCTCGAATTCCTGACCTCAGGTGATCTTCCCGCCTCGGCCTCCCAAAGTGCTGGGATTACAGGCATGAGCCACCGTGCCCAGCCAGTATAAAGGTTTTTTAAGCCGAGAAGCAGCGACTGTTTGAAGTTCCTCTTTACAAATGAGTGCAAGAACAGAAAGATCTCTGATGTCATAGCTAAACTTATGAAGAGATTTCTTTATTAATACCACTCATCTAATCATGTTTACAGTTTTTTATCACTTTTTAAATGACGAACTTTTAGCCAGGTGCAGTCGCTCATGCCTGTAATCCGAGCATTTTGGGAGGCCGAGGTGGGGGGGATCACCTGAGCTCAGGAGTTCAAGACCAGCCTGGACAACATGGCGAAACCCCATCTCTACAAAAAATACAAAAATTAGCCAGACATGGTGGTACTCTCCTGTAGCTTCAGCTACTTGGGAGGCTGAAGTGGGAGGATCACTTAAACTGGGAGGTGGAGGCTGCAGTGAGCCAAGATCATGCCACCACGCATGATCAAAAAATAAATAAATAAAAATAATAAATAAAAAGATTAAAGTGAATTAACTATAAACACAACTCAAAAAAACTTTTTTTTTTTTTGAGACAGAGTTTCGCTCTTGTCACTCAGGCTGGAATGCAATGGCGTCATCTCAGCTCACTGCAACCTCTGCCTCCCAGGTTCAAGCAATTCTACTGCCTCGGCCTCCCAAACAGCTGGGATTACAGGCATGTGCCACCCTGCCCAGCTAATTTTGTATAGAAATGGGGTTTTTTAGTAGGAACAGGATTTCACTATGTTGGTCAGGCTGGTCTTGAACTCCCAACTTCAAGTGATCCATCCACCTCAGCCTCCCAAAGTGCTGGGATTACTAGCATGAGCCACCATGCCCAGTCTCCAAAATACTTCTAATTATATCTCATAAGACAAAAAGAATGTGAAAACTAGGCCGGACACGGTGGCTCACGCCTGTAATCCCAGCACTTTGGGAGGCCAAGGCAGGTGGATCACAAGGTCAAGAGATCAAGACCATCCTGGTCAACATGGTGAAACCCCGTCTCTACTAAAAATACAAAAAATTAGCTGGGCCTGGTGGCGCGTGCCTGTAATCCCAGCTACTCAGGAGGCTGAGGCAGAATTGCCTGAACCCAGGAGGCGGAGGTTGCGGTGAGCCGAGATCACACCATTGCACTCCAGCCTGGATAACAACAGCGAAACTCCGTCTCAAACAATAAAAAAAAAAAAAAAAAAAAAAAGAACATGAAAACTAATCGTGGCTTAATTGCCTAAGTCATCATGAATTATAACAACCACATGCTCTGAGGATAAAACAACTTCGTCCTTACCTTCACTACAGAATGGCTTATCAACCCCTGAGAATCGCACAGTTTCCTTTATAATTTTCTGCAGTTTACAGTAGTCACACATTGCCACAACTTTATTTTTCTTCTTGTATTCATCAGAGCAATTCTTGCCACAAAACAGAAACATTTTACCCTGCAGAGAACCAACAGTCATTAAGAGTTAACTGAACAGTTGCTTTAAGAAGTCCTTTTCATGTCAAAGCAAACTAAGTGATCGAAATTAAAAAGACAAAAGTGTTTCTATTGGATAAGTTTATATTCAATCCTTTTCATGATCTCTCTTTACCTTGTAGAAAAGAAGTTCTGGTTTTGTGGCAAACAGATGGTTACAGTGCTGACACTTGAGTTTAACAACTGTATGGGTTAAAGCAACTTGCTGGGATTGTTCAGCGAGAGGCCTGAGAGGCTGGAGACCAGCTGTAGCAGAGAAACTGATGGCACTAAGGGAAACGGCAGAGGTGTTACCTCCTCCTGATGACACTGCTGACCTGGAGGAGGGTGGGCTTACAACCACTTGGCCCCGAGACAGGGGCACTGCTGAAGAGTTTGTTCCTTTTGGCTTGTTAAATACATTCTGAATTAAAACAAATAAGGTAAAGATTTTATTAACTGAGAAATAAGATAACTTGGTACTTTTCATTTCCTCATTTTAATAAATTAAGTCCCCCACCAACATTTTTTTTTAATTTTCTATCTCACAGAAAGAGTTTAAATGGCATACTTCCTCTAATAAATTAAAGCAGGCCTCTCCTTCCTCCCAACCCCCACTACCTGCCTGCACTCCCATCATCAACTAGCTTCTGATGGCTATTAAGACACAATAGCCACCAGCAGTCTCTTTCTCCCTGCTGCCAAGGATACTGGGTCAGACATGTTCCTACCCCGGGGATTACTAAACTCTACTCGTGTGTGTGTATTGCAGAGAGGGCGGAGAAAATGGGACACGTGGATGCTTACAATTCCATGCCAGGAGTCACTAGGTATCTGACCCAGGATGAGAGGAGGGGGTACGTGAATCCCAACAGGCTACTGTTCTTCACCATACCACCTACCCAAACCATAATCCTAGCTTCCATCTTTTTGAAGAGGAGAGACCCAAGGGAGAAAGTGGGAGGGAATGATCATTTAGGCAAGGATTCAAAAAAAGAAAAAATTGCTGAGACCCAATATCTAGGTTCAGATATTTTGTAGAAATGACCTGCTTGGGACCCTGGTTGAAACGAAGTTTTTTATTTTCAATTCAAATTTAAACTTTCATAAGAATGGGCCTTTACCAGTTAACACTGTGCCACAGATCAATGCCTAAGAGAACCACATGCATGATGTGCTACCTTAGATCATACCTGGAAAGCGACCACACAACTGGAGCTGCAGAAGCTGTATATAGCTCCATTTGACATGGCTAGGTGATACTGAGGGATTGCTGAGGTTTTACAACTATGACACGAAACCTGGACACCTTGGTGACAAAAAATAAAAACCAATGATTAAGTCACACAAATGAATAAACAATCTAAAAATGCACTGGGAGAATGAAAAATTAAATAATAATATACCAAAAAAATCAAGAAACTTTACAAAAATCTGAAATCTAGCTACAACTAACCTCAATTAAGTCCCACTTATAGAAAAACTAACTTGGAAATTCTAAGTATTTTTTCTTTCTTTTCACATATAAAACTATAAAATACTATATAAATTGCAACGAAGAAAATCAGTGAAAAACTATTTTCACATAAAAGTTATTTAAAAGTCAATCTCGGGTCTTTATTTAAATAAATAAATTTAGCTTGTAACAAAATCAAAGAAAAGCAGTTACATTTTTCTTCAATAGTTATTAAATCTATAAATTTATCAAATTTAAACATTACCTGAAGAAGTAACAGTCTTAACTCTGTAGGCAGATAAGCAATTAATAGAGCAGAAAAGCTCTGTTTTTCCTGAATCATTCGTAGTCTCGATCATTTCAGCTGAGGGCCTCAATGACTTTCCCAGGGCATATGGAGGAGTTTGGGCTGAATTCTATTAAAATAAAATAACATTAGAAACCTAGTACAAGCATAAGTATTTACACATTACTCAAAAAAGTAAAAAGAAAAGCTTCCTACAACCACGGCCCTTGGTTGAAATACTTGAGCATGACGATTAAACCACACTACTGGGAAGTAGGAAGATAAGTTCTTCCACACAATAAAAAAACAGAAATGGAAGAAAATTAGTAACTACTCAGATAGATATCTTGCAAACAAAACACACTAATTCAAACACAAGTAATGAATTAGGTAGTCATTACATATTTTTACACCACCAATAACCAGAGAAGGCCAGCTAATTCATGAACCAAAGGGCCATTCTCCTTATAGTCATGTACATCAATCTAGGAGAGTCTACCACCTTTAAGGTTTCTTAATTTGTGAGACTCTTCAGCAGGAGATAGAAATGACACTTAATGTATATGAATAGAGATCCTATAGAACTACCTATTTTTCAAGCTGAGTTTCATAATAAAAATCTGCCTATAAGTTTATTCGTGTTTTAAGAAATAACAAAAATAGCTACCATTTACATAACCAGTACTATAACTTATTGGATGCTTACCATGAACCAGGCCCCAGGCTAAGCAATTTATACATAGTGTATCACAGAATCCTTTCAATGACAGAGTGAGGTGCTTTCAAAAATTACATTAACAAAAGGTTTAAATTAACTTTAATTAACAGATGATCAGAAGAAGTAGGAAATTAAACTCATCTCATCAGGCTCCAAAGTTCAGGCTCCTAACTATACTATGCTGTCAGTGACACACTAAATCTCTCAATATGAAAGGAAACAGTAGAAAAATATAAATTGTGAGGTTTCACTACATAATCTTCCTAGTAAAAAGATAGAGTAACAAAATTAGAAATGTAACTGATTTGGGGATCATATGTAAAATAACATGGATTCTTTTCCTGTGAAAGTAGTAACCAGACTGCCAAAAATGGCAGTTCTTAAAAAAAGAGATTCTTTTCAGTGATGAATGTCCATATGTCCATTTCCAACTGCTCAGAGGAAGTAACAAATCAAACTTGCTAACTGAAAAAAAATGTTTATCATCTACATGATACATCTTTTTATCTTTAAGAAAAACAACTTCTTTAAAACCACAAATCATTCGGTAATAATTAAATTGACAAAATGATATATTTAGTAGCCAACTAAATGGATATATTTAGAATCCATTATTCATTACAATAAATAAAATTACTTAAAGTATTCTCATGAGACAATGTTGACCAAATAATTCCAATTCATTCCCAAACACATTTTAAAATGAAAAAGACAAGCTTTGTTTAGATTCACTGATTTTATCATCTTAACTCTTACTTAAGGTTTATTTATAATATGGTTTTCTTGCTATCAATACATCACAAAATATTTCATGTTCACAGAAAATCCTGAAACTACATTTATGAGGCCGGGAGTTGTAGCTCACGTCTGTAATCCCAGCACTTTAGGAGGCTGAGGCCAGTGGATAGCTTGAGCTCAGGAATTCAAGACTGGCCTGGGCAACATGGCAAAACTCCATCTCGATTTAAAAAAAAAAAAAGGAAATCACAGTTGTGAATTCTTAGCTACGAAGGGAGCCTTTAAAAAAGGGAACTATTTTACCTATGTCAACTTACCACCATAATCATGCCTCATACCATCAGAATCTATCGCATTTTCTGGAAGGGAAATCATGCATCAGGATGGACTAATGGGAGGATCTCACTCTCATTTTGTAGTTCATTCCTGTGCAGTCAAATCAGAAGGAGTAAGCCTAACTACATACAACAGATAGATATTCATACCTGCTTGTATGCCGTGACACTTGTTGAACTAAAAACCTTCTGGGACTGGCAAGGACCAGAGCTACTATAGCAATAGCTCCCACAGTTCTCACAACACTTCATGGTGAGGTTGTTGGTAGAGTGAAATTTTGAAAAACAGGCATCACTACAAAGACCATGTACTACATTTTGATATTTAACTTCAAACCGAATCTAGGAAATAAACACACACATAAATACAGAAAATAAGCAGAGCCAGTTTAAAAAAAAAACTCTTTGAGCAGAATCCCAATAAAAGTAAAATGTAACTTACATCAGCATTCTTCTGACACATACTGCACTTAGTTGAAGTGCTATTGGTATATATGGTAACAACAGGTTTCTTCTTTAGCTCATAAGAAGACAAGCATGACTGGCTGCAGAAATCTTTGCTGAGAGAGGAATTCTCAACGCGGGTTGTGATCACATCCTTAGGATTTAAAATATCTCTAAAAATAAATAACAAAGGTAAAATGAAATGTGTTCTTCACAACTGTAACTTCCTCCTCTTTGTGAGCTGAAACAACATTTACTAAGGGCAGCTATTATATGGTAGAAAAAGGATAAAGCATCTGGAAACCTGGATTTGATGATGAGTTCTATTATTAGGTGAGTGACAATGAATGATGTAATTACTATCTCAATTTCCTTATGTATAAAATGGGGTTTATAATACCTAATTCATAAATTTGTCAAGAGCAAATTATATTTAAAATATTGCCAGCCAGATGCTGAAGACAAAAATAGGAAGGCTTTCAGCCCCAACCAAGTTTCATCTGCTGTAGCCAATGGGACCAGTCAGTGGCCATCATACAACTCCAGACGACAAGACACTGGTTCTCTTACTAGCCAGATGGTGCAAAGAGTAGAACAGAAATGAGACAAAAAATTAATTTTTTTTTTTGAGACAGAATCTCTGTTGCCCAGGCTGGAGTGCAGTGGCGTGATCTCGGCTCACTGCAACTTCTACCTCCCAGTTTCAAGTGATTCTCCTACCTCAGCCTCCAATCCAAGTAGCTGGGACTACTCCCACCCAAGTAGCTGGCTAATTTTTGTATTTTTAGTAGAGACAGGGTTTCACCATATTGGCCAGGCTGGTCTCAAACCCCTGACCTCGTGATCCACCTGCTTTGGCCTCCCAAAGTGTTGGGATTACAGGTATGAGACACCATGTCCAGCTAAGATAACAAATTTTTTTTAAATTATAAGTGCAAGATTTTGAGAAACACATGAGCTACTAGAATACAAAAAATAAGCATGATATATAATATTTAGCTATAACTGAAAAGATCAAAGAAACACAAGACAAAAGGGCTGTTAAGACTTTGTATCAGAGGACAGATGGAGACAAGAATCAGACAGGAAGAACAAAAATACTTGGTTCTGTGAGATTCCTAGAGCCAATTTGTAAGAGCTAATTATTGCAGTAAGCACAAATAGCAATACCCTGGTAAAACAGAGGCTAAGTATTGCCATTCTTCTGACAAGCATAACAACTAATTATAAACACTAGTGCAGGCCACAAAGTAAATAATAATGGCAATAATATAAACTACAATAAGTGTGTTAAGTAATTACTATGTGCCAAGCATTACTCTCTTTACTCAAATTACCCAATTTAAATACCATCAAAATGACAGAGTGCAGTGGCTTACCCCCATAATCCTAGCACTTTGGGAGGCCAAGGCGGAAGGATGGCTTGAGCCCAGGGAGTTCAAGGCTCCAGTGAGCGGTGATCACGCCACTGCACTCCAGCCTGGGCAACAGAGCAAGACCCTATCACTACAAAACAATTTTTTTAATTAGCCAGGCATGCTGACTCATGCCTGTGGTCTCAGTTACTCAGGATGTTGAGTTGGGAGGATTGCTTGAGCCAGAGAGGTAGAGGTTGCAGTGAGCTGGGATCGTGCCACTGCATTCCAGCCTAGGTGACAGAGTGAGACCCTGTCTCAAAAAAAAAAAAAAAAAAAATACTCAAACCACTATGAGGTTAAGTATTATTGTAACTGCCTCTTTAGAGATGAGGAAACTGAATCAGAGGTTAAATAGCTTGTCAAAGTCATATTGCTAGTAGGCAGTAAAGCTGAAATACAAATCCAGGCAGTCTGATTCTAGTCTATGGAATTAATTATTCCACTATCCTGCCTCCCCATCCTGCACCTTTATTATACAGGTGTATTAGATGCTAAACCATGAGAAAATAATGACAATAAAAATTATTATGTAAAACTGAACTGTAAAAATATGACAGTAAGTCTTGGAAACCAAAAGAATATGCTTATATACAGATGAAGTATTAGTTTTGAAAGTTATTTTTCTACCGAAAACACAGCAATAGTTTCACTTAATAAGGTGAATATACCAGTGGCATAAGTAAAAAAAAAAATAGTAAGTAAAAATGCATAAATCAAAGAGAATAACTTTATAATGAAAATCTGTGCACATACGTTAGAAATGTACTCTAAACCTTATGCATGCAAATGAGCGTTATACCATAACATTTATCTTAGAAAAACCACACCTCTCCCAACAATAACATAGCTCAAAACATTTTTCTAATTTTTTTAAGTTTTATTAACCCTTAGAACTATTTTTTAACTTTAAATTTTATAAATCTCATGTTTTAATAGTATGACTCAATTTAGCTACTAAATTGACCCGATTAAGGTATCTAGCAGTCTTCGGCAATTCATAAAAATCAAACGCACACTGAAAAGATAAGAATCTGTCTCCTAACCTAGTCTAAAGGAATGTTTCATAAGCTCTGAAGGCAATGCCAAATCAAGACAGCAAAAGAAATTTTGAGTAAGAACAGCACTATGCTAAAAAGTCACTGACGAGGGTGATTACTTTTAAGAAAACAAGAGGCATTTGGATGTATAAGTCATGTTCTTTAAAATTATTTAATTTTATTTTGATATTTGGTATGTTGAAACAATACCTAAAAATAGAAAATGAAGTTTACTCTTTCAGATTAGTTTCATGAACATGACATAAAAGGGTTAATTAGAAGGGCATTTTGCAACAAAACTGATTTACGGTATATAACTATTTAAAATTCCTCTCTCCTGGCCAGGCGTGGTGGCTCATGCCAATAATCCCAGCACTTTGGGAGGCTGAGGTAGGCTAATTGCTGGAGCCCAGGAGTTCGAGATCACCCTGGGCAACATAGCAAAACCATCTCTACAAATAAATACAAAAATTAGCTGGGCATGGTGGTGTGCGCCTGTCGTCACAGCTACCGGAAAGGCTGAGGTGGGAGGATCATCTGAGCCCGGGGAGTTCAAGGTTGCAGTGAGCTGTGACCATGCCACTGCACTCCAGCCTGCGCAACAGAGGAAAAAAAATCCTCTCTCCTCTTTAGTTGGAAATTTCCAAATAGTAGGATCTACTCTTAGATAGTTTAGGTCCAGACACAAAGCAGATAAACATGGCCAAAGGCAAAATAGGGGCCTACAAGTGGTATGTTAAGTATACATATTAATATGTATTGTATGTACATCTATTTAATATATTTATGTTAATTATAAATAGTAATACACAATATAATTTTTATTACTAATAACAGAATTCTATTTGTTAAGTACTTGCTATGTGCTAGGCCATGTGCTAACACTGTCTCATTGAAATCCTAGGAAGCAACTATTATTTTCTGATGAGAAATGGAGGCTTAGAAAGTTAAATATCTAGCCCAAAGTCACAGAGATAAATCATAGATCCACAATTTAAAACCAAGCTCTTACTGTTTTGTTGCCTGTAGGGACTACTAACAACACACTGTATTCCTTGAATTACACTACCACAGAAATGGGCAAAACATGTCAAATCCTTCAAATGTACTAAGGCAGAGAAACATTTATGTAACTTTGTTGCCGTTTTTTTCCTCTCTCTGCATCTAAGCATTAATATAAAGCAACAATGACCCCACAAGGACATTAGAAATAAACACATTTTTGTGACCATGTAGAGTTTTTACTTTTTAAAGAATTAAATAGCTTTCATATACTATGAAAAGAGTGATATTATTTTATGCTATACCAAATAACTTTCAAGAAAACTGTTACATAAATTTAAATGGTTGTTGTCTACAATTCCAGGATAGTCCTGCAATTCCCACAAGTCATTTGTTACTTCTTTCCATAGTAAAATTTAAAGTGATAGAAAACTGGTTTAGGAAATATTCTAACACCAAGTCACATATTTAATGTTGTAAAACTTTAAAATTTGCAAATCCTTCCATTACTTTCTACAGACACATGATAAAGAGCTGTAAAGTATCAATAGCATGTTTGAATTAAACTATATACACAGTTAAAAAAAAAAAAAAAAGGAAAGTAAAAAGGGATATCAAGAATTTTATACTTCGAGCAATTTGTGCAGGTTTTCTTGGGAGGAGGTGGCAGGCAGGCAGGTGAAGAATGTCTGGTGATGCATCTTGTGGAGCAGAAGAGCTGAGTAGATCCTGTCTTATGATACGCAGTTTGCCCCTTATAAAGCATTCTTTTACAACCAGAACAAAAAACCTTAATACCAACGGCTGGAACTGAAGGAAGCAATACACTTGGGCCAGATGATGCCAAAGAAAGCTGAAAGCCTGGGTTCAACTGTTGTGCTATCAAAACAAAATTTTTTTTAAAAGTTTTAATATCAATAGTAATGCATATACAGTGTCTAAAGTTTTAGTATCAATAGTAATGCACATACAGTGTCTCTCTCTTTCTCTCCCCCACCCGCCTTTCCTTTTTTGAGACAGGGTCTCACTGTGGTGCAATCATAGTTCGCTGCAGCCTCAAACTCACACAATTTACCAGTACTCCCACCTCAGCCTCCTGAGTAGCTGGGACTACAGACACATGCTATCATACCCAGCTAATTTTTTTTTTCAAGATGGAGTTTTGCTCTCATTGCATGGTGCAATCTCGGTTCACTGCAACCTCTGCCTCCCAGGTTCAGGCAATTCCTCAGCCTCCTGAGAAGCTGTGATTACAGACATACAACACCACATCTGCTAATTTTTGCATTTTTAGTAGAGACAGGGTTTCAACATGTTGGTCAGGCTGGTCTTGAACTCCTGACCTCAAGTGATCCACCTGCCCCAGCCTCCCAATGGGCTGGAATTATAGGCGTGAGCCACCTCAGCTGGCCTTTTTAAAATTTTTAGTAGAGATAAGGTCTTGCTGTGTTGCCCAGGCTGGTCTCAAACTCCTGAGCTCAAGCTATCCTCCTGCCTCACCCTCTCAATTTGCTGAGATTACAGGTGTTGGCCACCACACCCAGCCCAGCCTCTGTTTTTTAGGACAAGTTTCCTATCATGAAATTCAGTGTTAATGAGGCAATAAGCACCCCAAAACAGAGGTTTCAATTTTTTTTTACCATGACCCAAAGTAGGAAATACATTTAGTATTATAACCCAGTTCTCACACATATACATTTGTAAATGTGGAAATGTGTGTACAATTTAATCACTGAAACAGAAGTTTTATGAAACAATATGTTTCTTTACTACACATATTATTCTGATATAATCCTATTCTATTTTATATTTTTAAATACTGCTGCAAACCAACTACGCACAGTCTGAAAAACAAACTGCTCTAAAGGAAGAGAAAGACATACACAGAAAGATGCTTTCCCTCAATTTTACTAGTCAGAATAAGCAAATACTAATTGTAATTAACTTAAACAGTTCTATTTCTTACCAAGAGGTCTGTCACTAACTGAAAACACAGCACTAATTTTTAATTCACTTTCTTGAGTTTTTGGCTGTTGGGCACATCCATACTCCTTTAGAAAAAAAAGAAAAGAAAAAAAGAACAATGAATATAGTGTATGCAAGTAAACTAGAAATTCAAGCAAAACAAAAAAAAGATTCTATCCCATTTGTCTCTTAAACATTCTGATCATAAACACCTCCACAAACACCTCAAAAGTCAAAATTTACAAGTTATTAGACTAGATTTAATCTTTACAACGACAATGTTTCAGAATTAGAGAATCGTTTACATAGTTTTATCTGCTTTTCAAATGTAATTTTGACATATGGGAATAATATATAGTTATTCCAAATGCTAAGCACTACCTATTTTTTAGGTAATGCATTTAAAAGGGGGCAATAAAAAAATGGTTTGTCGTTTTTTTTTTTTTGAGACAGAGTCTTGTTCTGCCACCCAGGCTGGAGTGTAGTGGCGCGATCTTGGCCCACTGCAATCTCCACCACCCAGGTTTAAGCAATTCTTCTGCCTCAGCCTCGCAAGTATCTAAGACGACAGGCATGCGCCACTACACCCAGCAAATTTTTGTGTTTGTTTAGTTGAGATGGGGTTTCACCATATTGGCCAGGCTGCTCTCAAACTCCTGACCCCAGGTGATCTCCCCACCTTGGCCTCCCAAAGTGCTGAGATTACAGGCGTGAGCCACCACACCTGGCAAAAAGAAGCAATAAATGAAATTACATCTGGCTGGGCACAGTGGCCCACACCTATAATCCCAGCTACCCGGGAGGCTGAGGCAGGAGAATCACCGAACCCAGGAGGAGGAGGCTACAGTGAGCCTAAATCATGCCAGTGCACTCCAGCCTGGGCAACAGAAGGAGACTCTGTCGCAAAAGAAAAGAAAAAATTAAATCAGAATGATTTACAGTTTGTATCTCAATCATTTTAGCCAACAGACTTACAAGCTGTCTTTTCTGCTAATGACAGAAAAGATACAAGAGTGTCAATGCAATCTGCTCGTTATATATAAAATCATCACAGACAAAATCCTATTTATTCTTACATTCTTCAAAATGTTTTAAAACAAAATGCAATCATGAAACATTTTTAAAAATGTAAATGCCTATCTTGAATGGTCCTTTATTCTGAAATTACAACCATCCTTTTTTTTGATGTTAAAATATCCTTACATGTTTCAAAACAGAAAGTTTTAAAAAATAGTCTTACTTTTCTGAATCAATGATGGTAATAAATGGCAGCTGTATTTTTAATCTCCCTACACGTAGCAAAATAAATGAGTAGCTATGTTAGTTCCAAAGTTACTTTAGAAATTTCTTTAGACTATTAAATGCCAAAAACTAGGAACCATTGCATTAATTCACCACTTCCCATGATATTTATTATTAGCACCCAAAGAGGTGCTGTCTATAAGATATACCTTCTTTATAGATGAGTAAAGTGAAGCTAAGAGATGTTCAGCAACTTGCCCAAGGTCACAAAGAGACTACGTGCACATATGGGAATCAAAACCCAGACTCTCTGTTCTTTTTTTTTTTTTTTTGAGATGGAGTCTCGCTCTGTTGCCCAGGCTGGAGTGGAATGGCACCATCTTGGCTCACTGCAACCTCCACCTCCTGGGTTCAAGTGATCCTCAGCCTCCTGGATAGCTGGGATTACAGGCACTCACCACCATGCTTGGCTAATTTTTGTATTTTTAGTAGAGATGAGGTTTCACCACGTTGGTCAGGCTGGTCTTGAACTCCTGACCTCAGGTAATCCACCCGCCTCAGCCTCCCAAAGTGCTAGGATTACAGGCATGAGCCACTGTGCCCAGCCAGTCTCTCTGTTCTAAAACCCATGATATCACCCTCATAAATGTGAAAATACAAAGCAATTACTACAGTGAATTCAAACTCTGGCCCAATTGAAATTAAGTTACCCTGTTGTAGGAGTCTCTCCCATCTCCTTTCTCTCACAGTACTTATCATAATAAATCATTTAATTACTTATTTGAATAATTTGATTAATGCCTAACATTCACCCTTCCTCCTACATACACATTAGACTGAAAAGATCACATCCATTACGGACAGGGACCATACCTGTTTTTTTCACCTCTGTATAACCAATCGCCCAATACAGTCAACATAACAGAAAAGACTATGGGTTCTAACAACAGACAGAAACAGGTATGATCTTGTCTCCTAAACAAGCTATTTAATATTTCTTAGTTTCAATTTCTTTATCTGTAAAGTAAAGATATATTACCTAACCCATAGGGCCACTGGGAAGGGAGGGGGCAAATGACTTATAGCATGACATTTTACAGTTAGTCAAAAGCAAACACGATACATACACAAAATGGTAGTTCTTCTTTTTTTTTTTTTTTAAGACGGAGTTTTGCTCTTGTTGCCCAGGCTGGAGGGCAAGCAGGCAATTGTGTGATCTCAGCTCACCACAACCTCCGCCTCCCAGGTTCAAGCAATTCTCCTGCCTCAGCCTCCCGAGTAGCTGGGATTACAGGCATGCACCACCATGCCCTGCTAATTTTGTATTTTTAGTAGAGATGGGGTTTCTCCATGTTGGTCAGGCTGGTCTTGAACTCCTAACCTTGTGATCCGCCCACCTCGGCCTCCCAAAGTGCTGAGATTACAGGCGGGAGCCACCGCACCCAGCCAAAATGTTAGCTCTTATACTTTTTATTAGTTTCATAATTGTGCAATTTAATAAATACTTGCTAAATGGATGAATATAAGTCTATTCAATCCAAAGAGCATGTTCTTAAACGTTACTCTATACTTAAATAACAATATTTACTGACATTTGCAAAAAGAAGATGAAGATAAAAGTATTATATACATCTTCAAATTATCAAAATGAGTGTTTAAGATTCAATAAAAATTACTTTACCTTATCGATTCAATTTGTAAAATTTTTCTAATATTCCTGTTATATTTCCCTGGCTCGTTTCTTTTACCTCACAACTCTTCTACACCTTCATAGCTCACAAGTCCCAACCCCACATCTTTCCTGCTCTTTGATGTTTCAATTTCACCAAGTAAAAAGAAGTAACTAAGAACTCCCTCAACATCCCTCAACCCCTCCACCTTACCTACAAATTGCTCAGCAAACTGTCCCACTATCTTACAGGAAAAGGAAACCTTCTTTTTAGCTATAGCTGAAATAATGCTATTTTAGAATAAGTGTGTTCCAAGTATTGCATGCAACACACTTACAGTAAAAATTACCATTGTTTATTTGATAGTCAAATTTAACCTGGCATCCTATTTTTATCTGGGAGACTTACATCTCCATGTAGGTAACTTTCCAATCTCCAAATCCCAGATTTATATGTACGAATGCCTCCTTGTGTAATTACCAATTGAATGTCCCACAAACCCTTTAAACACAACAGACCCCAAACTACCCTTATTACTTCCTCGAAAATCCTCTTCTAACCCTTCAGTAAATGGTATCACCATAAATCCCAAAACCTGTAAGTATTCTTAGACTGCTCTTTGATCTTCACACCTCTTATACAATCTCTAAATTTGATCAATCCTACTTAAACATTTTTAAATCTATTCTCTTTTCCCACTTTATTATTGATATTCAGTTCTAAACACACCACATTCTCTCACCCCTACATGACTTGGCTATTTTTCTCTGCTATTTCTCATATTTTCTCTGTCTGAAACTCTTAATTGTTATAATTCAATTTCCTACCTGCTCTGTGAAGTCTTCCTCTCCTTCCCAGATAGATTTGGAGCTCCTTCCCCTATGCACCCAATGTACTTCACACAATTTTAAAACATTAACATAAGACTGTGATTTTATATGTGTGTGTGTGTGTGTGTGTGTGTGTGTGTGTGTGTGTGTGTGTGTATATATACATGTATATGTATATATTTTAGACGAATCTCTCTCTGTTGTCCAGGCTGGAGTGTAGTGGAGTAATCTCTGCTCACTGCAACCTCCGCCTCCTGGGTTCAAGTGATTCTCCTGCCTCAGCCTCCCAAGTAGCTGAGATCACTGGCATGCATCACCACGCCTGACTAATTTTTTTATATTTTTAGTAGAGATGGGGTTTCACCGTGTTGGCCAGGCTAATCTCGAACTCCTGACCTCAGACGAGCTGTCTGCCTCAGCATCCCAAAGTGCTAGGATTAGTGGCATAAGTCACTATACCTGGCTCACTTGAGGCCCACTTTGACCTCCCAAAGTGCTGGGATTACAGGTGTATGCCACCGCCCCTGGCCTTGATTTCCTATTTGTATAAATAGGGGCACAGGCCAGGCACAGTGGCCCACGCCTGTAATCCCAACACTTTGGGAGGCTGAGGCGGGTGGATCACTTGCAGTCAGAAGTTCGAGACCGGCCTGGCCAACATGGTGAAACCCCATCTGTACTAAAAATACAAAAATTAGCCAGGCGTGGTGGTGCACAACTGTAATCTCAGCTACCCAGGAGAGCAGCTTGAATCTGGGAGGCAGAGGTTGCAGTGAGCTGAGATCACATTACTGCACTCCAGCCTGGGGAAGAAAGCAAGACTCCATCTCAGAAAAAAAAAAAAAAGGAGAGAGAATAGTTCATGCTACTTGTGAGTGACAGACAAACTTCATCTTAAAAGAGCGCAAAACTTTGCCAGCCTATCTAGCTTATTTCTTCTTCCACCAGCATAAGAAATGGCATGTGCAAAGGCAAGGAAATAAAATGCAACAGAGTTTTAGAAGATAATGTTGAGTGAACTGCAAATAGTTGGCAGGAGTATAGATTAGAAAAGGTGGGAACAATGAATGATGACAATGAAGAGAAAATGAAGGCCTACACATGTATAGTTTGGATGTTACACTGAAAAATCCCTGCTTCATCACACAAGAGGAAACAGGGTCTTTAAAGAGAGAACTATCACTAGATCTACCCAGTACAATGGCAACACTGTACAGTGTTTTGATCGGATATGTGACTGAAGGAAGAATAGCTAGGAAACTATTACAGAAGTCCAAATGAGAAATAATGAAATATTTAAGTGCAATGGCTAATGCCTATAATCCCAGCACTTTGGGAAGCCAAGGTCAGTGGATCACTTGAGGTCAGGAGTTTGAGACCAATCTGGCCAACACGGTGAGACCCTGTCTCTACCAAAAATACAAAAACTTAGCCAGGCATGGTGGCACACACCTGTAATCCCAGCTACTCCGGAGGCTGAGGCAAGAGAATGACTTGAACCTGGGAGGGGGACATTGCAGTGAGCCAAGATCACACCACTGCACTCCAGCCTGAGCAGACAAAGCAAGACTCCATCTCAGAAAAAAAAAAAAAAAACGGAAATAGGAGATGGCATGAAAAATAAATTTTTTTTATTATTTTAAAATATTATTGCTTCCCTTATACAATGAAGTCAATAACTATAGAGTATAAAGCAAAAGAACTGTCCTAGAAGAAAAAAACGTTCCTTGCCAAAACAACTAACTCATCTCTCCACATTGATTTCTGTGTTCTCCATTCTGTGTCCCTATGGGGTAACCAGAACGACCTTTCCAAACACAAATCTGTTTCATCTTACTTTCTCACTCAAAACCAATTGGCCAAGCACAGTGGTTCACACCTGTAATCCTAGCACTTTGAGAGGCCGAGATAGGCAGATCACCTGAGGTCAGGAGTTTGAGACCAGCCTGGCCAACACAGTGAAACCCTGTCTCTACTAAAAATACAAAAAATTGGCCGGGCGTGGTGGCTCAAGCCTATAATTCCAGCACTTTGGGAAGCCGAGGCAGGTGGATTACGAGGTCAAGAGATCAAGACTATCCTGGTCAACATGGTGAAACCCCGACTCAACTAAAAATACAAAAAATTAGCTGGGCATAGTGGCGGGTGCCTGTAATCCCAGCTACTAGGGAGGCTGAGGCAGAAGAATTGCTTGAACCCAGGAGGCGGAGGTTGCAGTGAGCCGAGATCGCGCCATTGCACTCCAACCTGGGTAACAAGAGCGAAACTCCATCTCAAAAAAACAACAACAACAACAACAAAACCCTACAATGGCTATCGACTACTCTTAGGATAAAGACCAAAATTTATAACAACGTCCACCAGGTCCTGCATAATCCAGCCTCAAACTATATATACAGTCTTATCATAGAGAAGCAGCATAGCACAGGTTCTGGGGTCTGACCACCTGGATCTGAATCCAGTCTTTGTTATTTACTAACTGTGATCTGTAGCAAACTATTTGGATTTTTTAAGTTTTGGTTTCCTCATCTGTGAAATGGGGATAACAACATGGTGTTGAGAATGATGTCTGGCACACTCTTAAGCACATATAAGTATTAAGTTAATAATGTCACATATAATTATGATATAATATATACTGCATACTGATATACTAATGCCATCTATTTTTATTGTTGTTATTTTGATCATTATCATCATCACCATTTTCGTACCTTTTCTGTTCCAGGCTCACTGGTCTTACAGGTCTTGAAAAGAACCACACATCTTTCCAACTCATGGCTTTCCTATTCATATTCCTCTGTTTGAAATACTCTTCTCCATGCCCTTTGCCTAATCAATTCATTCTTCATAATTCAGCTTACACATCCTTCCCTGAGAGAGGCCTTCCCTAGCCATCCCCAGGCCCCAGACCACAACCAAAACTAGGTCAGATTCCCCATTTTAGGCTTTTCTTCCAGAGCATTTGTCATAGTTTGTAATTATATATATTATTTGACCAATACTTGTGTAATCTCTGCCTCCTCTACTAACATATAAGTTCTAGGAGGAAAGGGACTAAGCTGACTTTGCTCAATCCTGGATCCCCAGAGCCTAGCATAGACCACAAATTCTTAACAGAATAAAGGAAAGTACTACCAGATTCAAGAGAATTTTTTTATGTGACAAGTATGGAAAATGGTAAATATATTACTTTCCTTCCAAAAAAAAAAATCACGTAGTTACATCTTTCATTCAAAGAGCAGAAAACCAGCCAGGCATGGTGGCTCATGCCTGTAATCCCAGAACTTTGGGAGGCCAAGGTGGGTGGACTGCTTGAGCTCAGGAGTTCGAGACCAGCCTGAGAAACATGGCGAGACCCTGTCTCTACCGAAAATACAAAAAAGTAGCTGAGCATGGTGGTGTGTGCCCGTGGTCCCAAGTACACAGGAGGCTGAGGTGGGAGGATCATTTGAGCCCAGGAGTGACCCGAGGAGATCGAGATTTCACCACTGCCCTATAACCTGTGCAACAGAGCGAGAGCCTGTCTCATTTTGGGTTATTTTAACTTACAAAATAACTGCCTAACTAAAATTTTTCAGTTCACCAGATCTTAAAAAGAAGGATTTAAAAAAAATTTAAATCAAGATGAAATGCTTACTTGAGCATTATCTGGTTCTTCTTTAATTTTGTCCAGAAGCTCCTGCTGTGGTACCACTGCTTTGCCACATTCACCATCCAAAGGTTCTTTCATTCTAATTTTTTACCTGAAGGAGTTCCTCAGGCTCAAACGAATAGATTTCTTCTTGGCAATGGATAGCCGGACACCTAAAATACATACTCAGGTTTATTCTTTCTTTTTTTATATCAAGCTTATCAATATGAAAAACTTCGTGTTGAGTGCACGAGGTTTCACAGCTCAGCATTTGAAAAACAACTCTTCTGGGGTCATGACTTTTTTCTTTCTTCCTGCTTTCTGCTCCTTCAGTATCTACATAAGAAAATAGTTTTCCAGCAACAGCTCCCACTTCTCTAATATTTTTAAAGACACACACAGTGGTCTTTCCTGTGTTGAACGTAGTTGAAGGGAATCAGAGCAGCAGATCAAGATGTGGGAGGAAGTTAGCAAACTCTGAGAAGAATGGACTAAAGAAATAGTTCCTGACCCCATGAGAATCAGTACTTAGAGGCCCACGTCAGTTTTTATTTCTCAAAGTGGGGCACAACAACCTCCCTGCCCTGACCTATAACTCAACCTTGACTGGAAGCCTCCCTAAGGGCCCCATTTCTTGGCCTAACGCTACATATGAGCTCAAGATGCCATTCATTGCAGGCGAACAACAGGCACGCCCTTACTGAAAGTGAATCACCTGCTTCTTTCAAGGACTCCGTGTGGGAGGTGGGGGACATCAAGCCCCTCTGAGCGCCGCTTCACAATCGCCCTCCTGTGGAAAAGAAACTCAACTGGCCATTCAATAAATTCCTTTCCCCTAAGAGTCAAAGAACTAAACGGGGCAAATTAAACCTAAAACAAAAAGCTCTTCAAAGTTGTCTTTTATCCGAATAGTCCAGGACGGAAATGGACAACGGGTAGAAAAGCCTGTTCCGAAGAAGAGATGAGAACTTTTGCGCACTCGCCACAGTCACAACTATCTATGGGCGCGCATTCCTCCTCTAAGAACCGCACGCGTTCGGAAATTCTCCTTCCCACCAAGAATTCCCATTCCCATCACTAAGGACTAACAAGGCAACGTAGTCTCCGACAAAGAGCAGAGGACTAGCCAGTGCATGTCATCGCGTACCAAAGGCGAAATCCGCAGCAGCCCCAGCCGCGTAGCCCACCTGGCACCGCCCCCGGCGCAACGCCTCGTCACGTGGCGCGGCCTCCGCCCCGCTGTCCCGCCCACTACCAGTGCGGCCGCACTCACCTTCTGTAGCCTCCCTGCTACCGGAGGAGCACCGGTCAAGGAATTTGGTAATAGGATCCAAGCCCTCTGCGCCTAGACAAGGATCATTTTCTCTTATGGAATTCTGCCTGATCCATCACAACGCAACAGCCGGCCAACCGCGCATGCGCAGCCCTGATCTCCGCCCTCTTTTCCCGTCAAGCTCCGGACCTGAGCAGAGGAGAACTTCCCAGCATTCCTCTTTCCTTAGTTTTGATTTACTTCTTAAAGAGACCGAGACTCAATTGTGAATAGGTGGAGAAAGGGGTTTGAGGAAGATTATCAGTGACGTTAGAAGGCGCTGTAAGTGTTCTGTTGTGTGTGTCTCAAGAGTCTCACGAGTCTCACCCTGTTGCCCAGGTGTGTGTGCGGGTGTGTGTGTGTGTGTGAAGAGTCTCACGAGTCTCACTCTGTTGCCCAGTCTGGGGTGCAGAGGTGCAGTCTCGGCTCACTGCAACCTCCACCTCCCGGATTCAAGTGATTCTCCTGCCTCAGCTTCTTACGGGGGACCACCGCCACGCCCAGCTAATTTGTAGCATTCTTTAGTGCCCATTTCCTGAACGGTGGCTTATTGAGAGAGCATGGTAGTAAATACCACTTGGCTTGCTGAGCACTTCACATGCCTCATCCCACTTAATCCTCACAATAACCCTAAGAGTTAGAATTTTTTAATCTCTTAGATATAAATGAAAAGATTAACTTGCCCAAAATGAGGATTTGTTATTTTTTTTATTCAACGTTGTTTCGCAGATAGATCTGTGATTTGTGACTGTTCATTTTGATTGCTGTATAGTATTCCATTTTATGAACATGGTACAATATTAATCATCTACTACTTATGGACATTTGAGTTGTTTCCAATTTGTGCCTATTAGGAATAATGTCACTGTGAACATTCTTGTCATTGGTGGTGTTAAAGGACAAAATTACAACAAATTTAATTTAAAGATCTCAATTAGCTTTATTTGTGATACTAGAATCTGGCAACACTTCATTCTGTAAAACAGAACAAGTGTTCCAATGATCTGAGCAGAAGAGGTCGGTTTTATAAACAGAGAAGGGCTGGAGAAAGCAGAAACAAAGAACAAAAAACAGATTGGTCCATTTCAAAGTAACTTTCTAAAAAATAAATAAGTTGTTTTCCTTGTAAAGCAGAACCAGGAAACAAAACAATAGAGAAATAACTGATTGGTTAACTTCAGGTAACTTCAGTTTACCTTTTTTTGGTAAGGATTAAAGCAGAAGGAATTTCAGTATTATCCTAATTCAAACGGGCACTCAGGGCAAATTAGACTGTTATTTTTCCTGACTTCTCAGAACTTCAGATAACAAGGTAGTTTCAGTTTGATGATATGGTTTTGCTTTCTGAAGTTTAGTTACCCACAGTCAACCACATTCTAAAAATACTAAATGGAAAATTCCAGTAACAAATAATTTATAAGTTTTAAACAACTTTTATTAAAGTACGTGGTTATAATTGTTCTATTATTAGTTGTTAGTTTTTCTATGCCTAATTTACAAATTAAACTTTGTCATAGGTATGTATATATAGAAAAAATGTATAGAATATATAGGGTTCGATACTACTGGAGATTTCAGGCATCTGTGGAACATCTTGAAACCTATCCCCCATGGATAAGGGAGGACTACTCTATGTATTGCAAATATCTTCTCCCATTCAGTAGCTTGCCTTTTCACTCTATTATTGGTATCTTTTGATGAACTTAAAAGACTTTTGTGGGCCAGGCATGGTGACTCATGCCTATAATCCCAGCACTTCGGGAGGCCAAGGCGGGCAGATCACAAGGTCAAGAGATCGAGACCATCCTGGCCAACATGGTGAAACCCCGTCTCTATATGTATTAAAATTTTTTTAAAAAAAGATATTTGTGGCCAGGTGCAGTGGCTCATGCCTGTAATTGCAGCACTTTGGGAAGCTGAGGCAGGCAGAACCCTTGAGGCCAGGAAGGAGTTTGAGACCAGCCTGGCCAACATGGTGAAACACTGTTTCTACTAAAAGCACAAAAATTAGCCAAGTGTGGTGGGCATCTGTAATCCCAGCTACTCGGGAGGCTGAGGCAGGAGAACCACTTGAACCCAGGAGGCGGAGGTTGCAGTGAGCCGAGATGGTACCACTGCACTGCAGCCTGGGTGACAAAGCAAGACTCTGCCTTAGAAAAAAAAAATTAGCTGGGCATGGTGGTGTGTGCCTATAGTCCCAGCTGCTCGGGAGGCTGAGGCAGGAGAATCACTTGAACTGGGAGGTCAAGGTTGCAGTGAGCCAAGGTCGCACCACTGCACTCCAGCCTGGGTGACAGGCTGGACTCTGTCAAAAAAAAAAAAAAAAAAAACTTTGTGTTTAGTGCTTATTGTACATTCTTAAGTAAGAAATATTTTCCTACCAAAGGAAGAAAATTTCTGGAAATGTTACTAGTCTTTCACATTTAGTTATGTAATCCACCTGAAGTTGGGTTATGTATGTAGTGTGAGGTAAGTCAGATTTCAGCCTTTCCCTGTGAATTTTAAATGGATTAAGCACTATTTTTTTAAAAGACTGTCCTTTTCCCCACTGTTCTGCATTGACACCATTGTCATGTATAAATGTATAAGTTGTCTGTATATATGTGGGTTTGTTTCAGGACTATCTTGCCTATTCCTTTTGTTTCTCCTTGAGGAAATACCATGCTGTCTTAATTTCTGTAATAGCTTTATAATAAATCTTAGCATATGATAGAAAAAGTCCTCCTTCCTCTTATGTCCTTCAAGATTGGCTTTCCTTGGTCCTTTGCATCTTGATGTAAATTTTTTAATCAGCTTGTCAGTTGTGACAAAACTTTCCTTATAAATTTTAGAATCCATTGGGATTTTCTTTAGCATTTTACTGAAGTGGTATGCCTGTTTTGGAGAATTGGTATTTGTTATTCATTGTGTTGAACTATGTTGCCTAAAAAGATATGTTGAAGTCCTAATCCTCAGAATGGGACCTTTTTAAGTCACATAGGCTTGTTGCAGATGTAATTAGTTAAGATGAGCCCATATCGAAGTAAGGTGGGCGCTTAACTCATTATGGCTGGTTTCCTTAAGGGAGGAGAAGATATGGAGACATCCACATGGGAGGAGAACACCATGCGACAATGGAAGCAGAAATTGAAGTATGCATTTGCAAGCCAAGGAATGCTAAGGACTGTTGATAACACTAAAAGCTAGGAGAGGCAAGGAAAGATTCTCCCATATAGGTTTCAGAGAAAGCATGACCCGACTGATCTTTAATTTTAGACTTCTAGCCCCAAGAATGGTGAGATAATAAATTCTGTTGTTTAAAAAAAAAAAAAGTTTGTGGTACTTTATTAAAGCAGCCTTAAGAGATTAATAATAGCATTCTGTAGGGTTGACTCTTTCAATCCATGAAAATGATATATTTCTCCATTTATTTGTAATTTCTGTGTCTGTAATTTCTCTTAATAATGCTTTATAGTTTTTAAGTGTAGAGATTGCACACATCTTTAGATTTATTCTAGGCGTTTAATATTTCATGTCATTTTAAATGTAAATTTTTATTTTCTAATTTTTTTCAGTGTAAAAATAGAAATACAGTATATTTTTGTATGTTGGTCTTGAAGCTAGCACCCTTGCTAAATTATTAATTAAACTAATTAATTATAATAGTCTAGCTATTTTTCTTTCTGTTTCCAGCTATGTAGAGAATAATGACCATTTTACTTCTTTCTTTCTAATTATATAACTTTTATTTCTTTTTCTTGCCTATTGCAGTGGCTAAACCTCTAGTAATGAGTTGAATGGAAATGGTGATATTGGGCATCTGTATCTTGTTTTTGTTATGTTGCTTTCAACATAGCATTATTGAATATTGTATTTACTTTAAGATGTTTGTAGGTACCTGTGGGAGGTTAAATATGGACATAAAGTTGTTACAACTTTTCCCATCAAGGAAAGGAGTCTTAAGTGTGCAGATGGGTGGATTTAAAAGAGAGAGAGAGAGAGAGATAGTCTGTGATAGTAAATGTGTCAACTTGAATCTGTAGATTCAGTAAAATATGTCCTCCCAATATAGAAAGGCATTATCCAATCCACTGAACTCCAGAATAGAACAAAAGAAGGAGAAAGGAAGAATCTGCCTTCTCTCTCTCTCTCTTTTTTTTTCCTGCCTCACTGTTTAAGCCGAAACATCCCCTCTCATCTTCTTCTGCCCTTGTACTAGGATTTATATCATCAGCTCCCCTGGTTCTCAGACCTTTAGACTCGGACTGAATTATACCACTGGCTTCCCTGGGTCTCCAGCTTGCAGACAGCAGATTGTGGGACTTCTTTGCCTCCATAATTATGTGAACCAATTCTTCATAATAATAAATCTTCATATCCTATTAGTTCTGTTTCCCTGGAGAACCTTACTAATACAGAGTCTGTTTCACTACCTCTTGTTTCTTGACTGGGCTTGTGAATTATTTTGACTGACAAAATGTTATAGAAATGATACCATATGAGTTCCTAAGCATAGGCCTCAATTGTCCTTGGAGCTTCTGCTTTTGTTATCATAGAACACTCCTACCACCATATCAAGGTTAAATGAGATCACTGCTGACTGATGAGAAATCACACATAGAGAGTAGCCCCATGGCCAGCAACAAGGCCCCATAACATATGAGTGAAGCCATCTTATATCCTCCAGATTGCTAGATGATTGCAGCATCTGTTGTTATATAACAGAGCACCCCTTTGTAGGTAACTGTTAGATAATTGAAATCTAGAAATGAGATACTGCCATAACTAATATATAAAATGTGGCATTGATGTTGGGACCAGGCAGCAGGCAGAGCCTGGAAAGACAACAAGGAGGCTGTAAGTGGAGGTTAGAAGAGCAGTGAGGAAACTGTTGTTGAAGCCTGGGGAAAGAACAAACAGTGTGATGCGTTGGCAAAATGTTTGGCAGCACTGTCATCTGTGATAACGTAGAACCTAGAAGACATACTTAATGATCTTCTGAATCTGCCTTAGGAGACTTCCATGCAGAAGATTACAAAAAATACAAAATTTGACAGGCGCGGTGGCTCACACCTGTAATCCTAGCACTTTGGGAGGCTGAGGTGGGTGGATCACCTGAGG